GCGTTTGAGACACATCTGGGGACTTGGAGGAGAGCTCTAAGAAGTCTAGATTGAACTCTCTCAAGGGGGGAGAAAGCAGAGGAAGGTGGGCCCAAAAAGAACCATAGAGGAGTTGTGCCAAAGTTTTGGCCTTGTATAATTTTGGAGCTGCGGGAATGAAGAAACCCCCTTGTGCTCTGAAGAATTTAAGGATACAATTAGCGGTTTTTTCCGCTAGGGGGTGCCCAATTGGGGCTTCTTCAGGGGCAGCAGAATGTCTTGGGCAGGAGAATCCCTGCAGGGGCTCTCAGACTCCCTTGGCTGTTTCTTCCCTCCCTCCCAGGAAGCTGCAACTGGCTCTGGATTCTGCACTCCTCAGGAAGCTGAACCTGCAACCCTGGCCAGGATGGAAGGAGGAAGATGGACGGGTGACTTGGTCAGGCTGTCTCCCGCATCCCTCCCCACAACCTCTGAGCATTCCCTCCCAGGACCCTTGGAGAAATCTGGTGAGTTCCAGGGGAGAGGAGATGGGGACAGGGATAGATGGATGGTGGAGGGAGAAAGAGGAAAAGATGAAGAGGAGACAAATGGAAGGAAGTTCCTGACATTAAGAAGGAAGGGGTGAGGCCTTCTGCAAAGCAGCTCTTTGTTGCTTGAATCCTTTTCCTAAAGTAGTGGGGGCAGATTTTCTTCCTCCAGGCTTTGAAATCTTAGGTGTTATTTCAACGGCAGGAATAATTGATGATAATGATGTTGCACACCAATCCTGAAAAATGGGTGAAGGGGAATGGAAATGCTTCCCATAATTATTTATAATTAATGTATTTAAATTGTTTCTATTACTCTTATTTTTTATAGACAGGGTCAGAATGATACATTCCACCAGCATCAAAACACAATAAATGCATGCACCTCCCCAGTTTGGTGAGCTTAAGGGACAAAGGACCAGTTATCATGATACACGATTCCTGTGGCTGGAGGCTCTACACTTAGGTGTGATGGCCTGGGATCCCGATTCTGAGAGTGAACCGGAGGAATCCCAGCCGGCACAGGAGTCCCCGCCTCCAGGGCCGGCTGAACTGGGGCAAGGCCTAGATTCTGAGGAGCTTGCACCTGTGCCAGATCCTCAGGAGCAGGCACCAGGTGAAACCATTCTGGCCCCAGAGGTGCTTGAGGACTCAGTGTCTACAGGTGAGCCTTCCCCGGGGCCCAGTAACCCTTCGGCCTCTCCTGAACTGCAGAGGCTTAGGGCAGAGAGGCGAAGGGAACTGGTTTCTCCCAGGAGGAGTGCTCGCCTTAAGGCCCGGAGAGGCGGGGCTCCTGGTGGCCAGGACCGCCCCTGGCCTTAGAGAAGATAAAGGGCAGTCAGCCCGGTCCCAGGTTGCGGGAGCAACGTCGTCATTGAAGAGCTGTTTCGGCCAGCATCCAGTCCTGTTCCTCCAGTCTTCCTGTTCCCCGCCCGGCTTCCTGCTTCTGATCTTCGAGTGTTCCTGTCCCCGCCCGGCTCCCTGTTTCGGACCTCACCTCGCACTTTGTGGACTATCTCCAGGCTAGTGACCTCCCCCCCGGGACCAGCACAGTTTGCTCCCGCCTCTCCCGCACTCCCCCTTCGTTGGGGTGTGTTCGGGAAGAGCCAGAGGCCATGGCTGACCAGGCAGCCGCGCTGGTGGCATTGGCCCAGGAGAACCAGGCCTTGACCCACACCGTTCAGCAGCTAAGCGATGTGGTTGCGGCGCTTCAGCAGCGGTTGGAAGCCTTTACAGATCCTGGGGCCGACGCCCCAGCTCCAGGCAAGTACCCAGTGGCTTTGCCAGAGAAATTTGATGGGACCCTGGCCAGTTTTCCCATGTTCTTCGCCCAGGCCAAGTTGTATATTCAGGGGCGAGCCCGGAACTTCCCTGACGACCGCACCAAGGTGCACTTTCTGATCAGTTTGTTAAAGGACCAGGCGGCCAAGTGGGCTTTGCCACTGCTCCGGCAAGACTCTCCTTTGTTAACGGACTATGTGGGATTTTGTAACCACTTAGAGACTGTGTTTGGCAACCCTCTGAAGGAGAGCCAAGCCAATCGGGCGATTCGTCAGTTGAGACAGGACAAGTCCACAGCCGCCGCCTACGCCACAGAATTTTGGCTGTTGGCACAAGACTTGTCTTGGAATGACTCTGCACTACGGGACCAGTATCTGGAGGGTCTGTCGGACGAGATACTGGACCAGTTGGCCATGATGGAGCGTCCCACCACGCTGGACGCCCTCATTCAGTGGAGCCTGCAGATAGACGATCGGTTGGAGGACCGTCGCCAGGCCCGGGACCGCCAGCACCCCCGGCTCCTAGCGCCTGTCCTTCCCAACAGGTCCACGCCCACAGCCGAGTTGCCAGTTGAGCCAACGCAGCTCGGGGCTGTGCGACCTCGCCTCTCCCCCTCGGAGAAGACGCGGCGTCGGGAGGGAAACCTGTGTCTTTACTGCGGTGGGAGTGGACATTACGCCCGTTCCTGTCCCAGGAAAATGCCAGTCGCAGGAAAACCACCAACCTCGGTAGCTGAAGGCCCTAGCAACGTGGGGTCCCAAACCATGCAAGAGGGGCCCTTGCCAGTGGAGTTGCGACATCTCATGGTTCCAGTGCGTCTCTACCCTCCAGGTGGGCCCTGGATTCTTACCTACGCTCTGGTAGATTCGGGGGCAACCCGCTCCTATATGGACGCTGCCTTTGCCACTCATCATCAGGTGCCACTTCAGAACAAGCCAGAACCGGTACAGGTGGAGGCAATCGACGGACGGCTCCTGCGTTCAGGTGCCGTCACTCGGGAGACCCAGCCCTTGGTCCTGTGTCTCCAGCAGCACCGGGAGGTGCGAACTTTGGACATTGCCTCCATGCCCCGGTTCCCCCTGGTGCTTGGAATGGACTGGTTGGAGGCTCACAATGTTCAGATTGACTGGGTTAATCGGACTGTGCACTTCCCAGACCCATGCCCTCATGCTCTGTCCGAGATGCTAGCGGCCGCACCCACTGAGGAGGCAGCACCCACGCTCCCAGCCGTGTACCGGGACTACCAAGACGTGTTCGAGGAACGGGGGGCAGACCAGCTGCCGCCGCATCGGTCTTTTGACTGCGGCATAGACCTCCAGCCCGGAGCGCCCCTGCCGGTGAGTCGCTTATACTCTCTAACAGAGCCAGAGCGCGAAGCTTTGCAGGACTTCCTGCGCAAGAACCTGGAGCGTGGGTTCATTAGGCCTTCTACCTCACCCACCGCTGCGCCAGTACTCTTCGTTAAGAAGAAATGTGGGGAGCTTCGCCTTTGCCATGATTACCGGGCCCTGAACAAAATTACCATCCCGGACCGGTACCCCTTGCCCCTTATCTCGGAGTTGCTGGAGCGGGTGCAAGGGGCGCAGATGTTCACCAAGCTTGACCTCCGGGGGGCCTACAATTTAATTAGGATCCGAGCCGGGGATGAGTGGAAGACAGCATTCGGGACCCGGTACGGGCAGTTCGAATACCTGGTTATGCCCTTCGGATTGTGCAACGCGCCCGCTGTGTTCCAACGGTACATTAACCATGTGTTCCAGGACTTGCTGGACAAGTACGTGGTGGTGTACCTGGATGACATTTTGATTTTCTCCCGTGACCCGGCTCGCCACGAGGGCCATGTCCGGACCGTGTTGCAGCGCTTGCGGGGGCACCGCCTGTATGCGAAGCTCAGCAAGTGCGAGTTCCATCAGCAGACAGTGGACTTTCTGGGTCACCGACTCTCTCCAGATGGGGTGCAGATGGATCCTGGGAAGGTGGCAGCGGTTCGGGAATGGGCAGCACCTCGGAACCGCAAGGACCTACAGCGTTTCCTGGGGTTCGCCAACTATTACCGGACCTTCATTGCGGGTTACGCTCGTCGCACTACCCCATTGACCCGGCTACTGCGCCCCAAGACGCCGTTTTCCTGGGACAGCGAGGCAGAGGAGGCGTTTCAGGGGTTGAAGGCCTGTTTCCAGAGAGCGCCGATCTTACAACATCCTGACCCCTCTCAACCTTTTGTGGTAGAGACCAATGCCTCCAGTACGGCTCTCGGTGCCGTCTTGTCTCAGCAGTACGGACCTGATGCGCCACTCTTACCCTGCGCCTTTTATTCCCGCCAGCTCCTGCCAGCGGAGCGTAACTATACGGTATGGGAGCGGGAACTACTGGCCATCAAGGTGGCTTTTGAGGTCTGGCGCCACCATCTTGAGGGGGCACGACACCCGGTGGAGGTGAGAACCGACCACCGAAACCTGGAGTACCTCCAGACCACCCGCAAGCTGAACCAAAGGCAGATCCGGTGGGCGTTGTTCTTTTCCCGGTTCCAGTTCCGGATCCGCTACATCCCTAGCTCCCAAAACCAGAAGGCGGATGCCCTGTCCCGGAAACCTGAAGACAACGCAGACACGGTACAGCAGGCAGTACCCACCACGATCCTACCACCGGCTGCATTCCTGGCCACCCAGGAGGCTGAGCCACTGCAGGCTCGGGTGCGGGAACAGCAGCGGGTCGACGCTTGGGCCCAGGAACGACTCCAGGAACTGGCCGAAGGGTCATGCCCTCAGTACCCAGGGCTGGTCCTGCATCAGGGCCTTCTGCTGCACCACGGGCGCCTGTACATCCCGCCAGGGCCGCTGCGGGCTGAGGTTCTCCGGATGACCCACGATGCTCCAGCAGCGGGGCACTTTGGGCGGTATCGGACCACCCATCTGGTAAGCCGTGAGTTTTGGTGGCCCCGTCTGAAGGCTGACGTGGCTCGCTACGTCGCTGGTTGTGATGTCTGCCGGCGGGCCAAGGGGCCTACCGGGCGACCCCCCGGCCTTCTTCAGCCGTTGCCGGTTCCACCACGTCCTTGGCACACGGTTTCTCTGGACTTTGTAGTGGAGCTACCCCCGTCTCGTGGCTGCACCTGCCTACTAGTTTTCTCTGACCATTTCACGAAGATGGTGCACTGTGCCCCCTGCCCATCCGTACCCTCAGCTAAGGAAACCGCTCAGCTGTACCTTCAGCATGTCTTCCGCCTGCATGGCCTATCTGAGCGTGTGGTGTCCGACCGTGGCGTTCAGTTCACGTCCCGGTTTTGGCGTGCTTTGCACCAGGCCCTCGGAACAGAGGTCTGTCTCTCATCTGCCTACCACCCACAGACTGATGGCCAGACGGAACGGGCAAACGCGGTGCTGGAACAGTACCTCCGGTGTTACTGCAGCTACCAGCAGGATGACTGGGTCGACCACCTAGCATTGGCGGAGTTCGCTTACAACAACGCGGTGAATGCGTCCACCCAGCAGACCCCGTTCCAGGCCAGTTACGGTTTTCATCCACGGTTGTTTCCGGATGTGCTGCCGGCATCTGCGGTCCCTGCGGTGACAGAGTGGCTTCAGGAGCTTCAGTCCCAGCAACAGCTGTTGATGGAGCAGCTGCGCCAGGCCAAGGAGGCGTACAAGGTCCAGGCCGACCGCCACCGCCAGGTGGGGCCGGAACTCCACGTCGGTGACCTGGTATGGCTCTCCACTCGCCACCTCCACCCTTCTCGACCTTCGCGGAAGCTGGACGCCCGTTTCACCGGTCCGTTCCCTATCGTGAACCAGGTCTCGCCTGTGGCATTCCGTCTCCAGTTGCCCGCAACCCTGAAGGTTCACCCGGTATTCCACAGGTCCCTTCTGAGTCCGGTGGCCCCACCCGACGAGTTCCACCCGAACCGTCCCCGACCGCAGCCAGTTTTGGTTCAGGGAGAGCCTGAGTACGAGGTGGAACGCATTCTGGACTCCCGATACCGCAGGGGAAAGCTGCAGTATCTCATAGACTGGAAGGGGTATTGACCGGAGGACCGTTCCTGGGAACCAGCGGCCAACGTCCACGCGCCTGCCTGCCTCCAAGAGTTCCATGCGGCGTACCCCAGCAAGCCGGGTCCAGACCCTCGATTGAGGGGGGGCCTGGGAGGGGGGATGGTGTGATGGCCTGGGATCCCGATTCTGAGAGTGAACCGGAGGAATCCCAGCCGGCACAGGAGTCCCCGCCTCCAGGGCCGGCTGAACTGGGGCAAGGCCTAGATTCTGAGGAGCTTGCACCTGTGCCAGATCCTCAGGAGCAGGCACCAGGTGAAACCATTCTGGCCCCAGAGGTGCTTGAGGACTCAGTGTCTACAGGTGAGCCTTCCCGGGGCCCAGTAACCCTCTCGGCCTCTCCTGAACTGCAGAGGCTTAGGGCAGAGAGGCGAAGGGAACTGGTTTCTCCCAGGAGGAGTGCTCGCCTTAAGGCCCGGAGAGGCGGGGCTCCTGGTGGCCAGGACCGCCCCTGGCCTTAGAGAAGATAAAGGGCAGTCAGCCCGGTCCCAGGTTGCGGGAGCAACGTCGTCATTGAAGAGCTGTTTCGGCCAGCATCCAGTCCTGTTCCTCCAGTCTTCCTGTTCCCCGCCCGGCTTCCTGCTTCTGATCTTCGAGTGTTCCTGTTCCCCGCCCGGCTTCCTGCTTCTGAACTTCGAGTGTTCCTGTCACCGCCCGGCTCCCTGTTTCGGACCTCACCTCGCACTTTGTGGACTATCTCCAGGCTAGTGACCTCCCCCCCGGGACCAGCACATTAGGATTGGGCATATAAAGTCCAAGAGTGTCTGGTATTATAAGCAAATTGTGTAAACTTGCCAATCTTACAGACTGGGGTTGTTTGTGAGAGTGAGTGGGATAATAATTTTAGCGCCCCTTGGTTCTCCTGCACAGACATGAGACAACTCCAGTAGTAATTATCTCAAACTCATAAATCACTGTGGAGCTCAGTCTTCGGCCTGTTCATCCCAGCTTGCAGTTGCCGAGTCCTCCAGCAAAGAAGGCCCCACTTTCGCTTTCTTTTCACCTCTTCTCGCAGATTCTCTCGAGCCTACGATTTTTTGGACAGGCTATTTTGGGGGCTCTGTGTCAGAGCTCAAACTGGAGATAACAGTCTGTGCCCCCACCCCCCGTCACCCCCTCTTCCTGCTCTTTCTTCTTTGCTCCTGCTGCAGCTTGGCTGCTCCTCCCCTGCTTCACATTCCAACTGAATCACATCTCTTGCGTTCTCAGGCTCTGTCATCGGAGGCACAAGAGGCTTGAGATTCACGGAGCTGACACCCTGTAATTTTGTCCGTCCCTAAGCTTCCATGGAGACACTTTGGAGACACCTTGCTGCAAATTTCAAAATAAGTACACAAAGCCAACAAAGAGACTCAGAGGTTTATAGTGGCACCAGCTTTCCTGGTCAAGAGTCCACTTTGTCAGACTGCAGCCCACAAAAGCTTAGGCCATAATACATTTATCAGCTTTTAAGGGCTGGAAAAGATGAATAAACAGAAGCGTAGTTCATCTATGGAATCTATCCTACAGGAGACAGTGATGGCCAGCAACTTGGATAGCTTGAAGAAAAGGATAAGACTGATGTCTCTGCTCTGCCCTCGTGGTCTAGGCAATAATGCTTCTTGATACTAGTTTCTGGAAAGCACAGGAAGGCAGAGAAGACTCTTGTGCTCCAATCCTGCTTGCTGGTTTCCCACAGGCATCTGGTTGGCCTCTGTGAGAAGAGGATGCTGGACTAGGTGGGCCTTTGCCTGATCCAGCAGGCTCTTCTTAGGTTCCAACATAGTGCAATATTTTTACAGTTACATGTAGCACTTAAGTTTTATTTATTTCACAAGGGAAATACTGTTACTTGAGCCTGAGATCATTTCTTCACTTCAGAAAGAAAAAATAGATGTGTCTAATAAGCCAGTTCCACCATAGATCTGTATTATAAAACGATGGTGCTTTATTAAGTTTGAATGGAGTGATCATGTGTTGCTCTTGCCACTATCTCATCAGCTTTCGTAAAATTTGGAACCTAGAGAGGATAGTGGAGAATGAAGGTGTTAAAATGAGAGAAGGTACAGATTGGGATTGACATGTGTTCAGTTACCTTTTTGTCTTTCTTGAAAGTCTAACAGGATTCTCTTTCCTCCCAGACTCCCAAACAGGTGAGGAAGATGAAAGTCAGAATTCTATGAAGCCACATGTGAATTTATGGGGGGAAACAAAGAAATTGAGGATACAACAAAAAAGTCACAAAGGAGAGAAACTATTTAAATGTACGGCATGTGGAAAGAGCTTCAGTGAAAGTGGAAAACTTAGAAGACACCAACGAACTCACACCGGGGGAAAACCATTTGAATGTGTGGATTGTGGAAAGAGCTTCAGTCGAAATGATACACTTAGAATACACCAACAAACTCATACAGGGGAGAAACCATTTAAATGTATTGAATGTGGAAAGAGCTTCAGTCGAAGTGGAACACTTAGAATACACCAACAAACTCACACAGGGGAGAAACCATTTAAATGTATGGAGTGTGGTAAGAGCTTCAGTGATAGTGGAAATCTTAGAATACACCAAAGAATTCACACAGGGGAGAAGCCATTTGAATGTTTTGAGTGTGGAAAGAGCTTCAGTCAAAGTGGAGACCTTAGAATACACCAACGAACTCACACAGGGGAGAAACCATTTAGATGTATTGAATGTGGAAAGAGTTTTAGCATAAGCGGCACACTTAGAATACACCAACGAACTCACACAGGGGAGAAACCATTTAAATGTTTTGAATGTGGAAAGAGCTTCAGTACAAGTGGGAAACTTAGAATACACCAACAAACTCACACAGGGGAGAAACCGTTTCAATGTATGGAATGTGAAAAGAGCTTCAGTAGCACTGGGAAACTTAGAATACACCAACGAACTCACACAGGGGAAAAACCATTTAAATGTATTGAATGTGGAAAGAGCTTCAGTCATTATGGAAACCTTAGAATACATCAACGAACTCACACAGGGGAGAAACCGTTTCAATGTATGGAATGTGAAAAGAGCTTCAGTACCACTGGGAAACTTAGAATACACCAACGAACTCACACAGGGGAGAAACCATTTAAATGTATTGAATGTGGAAAGAGCTTCAGTCATTATGGAAACCTTAGAATACATCAACGAACTCACACAGGTGAGAAACCATTTAGATGTCCTGAATGTGGAAGGAGCTTCAGTGAAAGTGGAAAACTTAGAAGACACCAAAGAATTCACACGGGGGAGAAACCATTTAAATGTATTGAATGTGGAAAGAGTTTCAGTGGACGTGGAGCACTTAGAATACATCAACGAACGCACACAGGGGAAAAACCATTTAAATGTATTGAATGTAGAAAGAGCTTCAGCAAAAGTGGATCACTTACAATACACCAACGAACTCACACAGGGGAGAAACCATTTAAATGTATTGAATGTGGAAAGAGGTTCAGTGAACGTGGAGTACTTAGAATACATCAAAGAACTCACACAGGGGAGAAACCATTTGAATGTTTTGAGTGTGGAAAGAGCTTCAGTGTTAGTGGAAAACTTAGAATACACCAACGAACTCACACAGGGGAGAAACCATTTAAGTGTATTGAATGTGGAAAGAGCTTCAGTGAAAGTGGAGCACTTAGAATACATCAACGAACTCACACGGGGGAGAAACCATTTGAATGTATTGAATGTGGAAAGAGCTTCAGTTATAGTGGAGCACTTAGAAGACACCAACGAACTCACACAGGGGAGAAACTATTTAAATGTGTGGATTGTGGAAAGAGCTTCAGTCGAAGTGGGGCACTTAAATGTCATCAGCGAAGTCATACAGGGCAGAAACCATTTAAATGTATGGAGTGCGGTAAGAGCTTCAGCCAAAATGGACACCTTAGAAGACATCAGCGAACTCACACACGATGAAAACTACAGGTGTATTGAATGTCGAAAGGGCTTCAGAGGGAGTGGAGACCTTAATATTCATCAGCAAATTCGCACTAGGCAAACGATATTAATGTATGGAGTTTTTCACTCAGGGTTCACTACTTACATCAAGAAACTCATAAGGGGGAAATCAGGTGTAAATACATGTAATGATATTTCAGTGTTTGTACTTAAATTTGTATACATGTATATATGAATTTAGTGATGTATAGAAGTGGGAGCTGTACCATAAAGAAGACTGATCGCCGAAGAATTTATGCGTTTGAATTATGGTGTTGGAGGAGGCTCTTGTTACATGGACTGCAAGAAGATCAAACCTCTCCATTCTTAAGGAAATCAGCCTTGAGTGCTCACTGGAAGGACAGATCGTGAAGCTGAGGCTCCAATACTTTGGCCACCTCATGAAAAGAGAAGACTCCCTGGAAAAGACCCTGTTGTTGGGAAAGATGGAGGGCCCAAGGAGAAGGGGACGACAGAGAACGAGATGGTTGGACAGTTTTATCGAAGCTACCAGCATGAGTTTGACCAAACTGTGGGAGGCAGTGGAAGATAGGAGTGCCTGGCGTGCTGTGGTCCATGGGGTAACGAAGAGTCGGACACGACTAAACAACTAAAACAAACCTTGATGTTTCCCCCAGTCTTTGGATAACTTCCCCTTGTCCCTGGGTGGAGTCGTTTCGGTGACATAATGATTGTCATTCACAGCCTGAACATCAGAGATAGAAAGAGTAATAATGTAATTCAAAAACTGGGTAATGGTTAAAAAATGTGCTTTTGTTTTTATTCTTGAATATTATTTTCCTTTGTTACAGATAGGTAGCCATGTTGGTCTGCCATAGTCAAAACAAAATAAAAAAATTCCTTCCAGTAGCACCTTAAAGACCAACTAAGTTAGTTCTTGGTATGAGCTTTCGTGTGCATGCACACTTCTTCAGATGAGAAACCAAGACAGAGAAACCAGTAGGAGAACACTTCAATCTCCCAGGACATTCTATACAAGATCTCAAAGTAGCTGTTCTACTACAAAGGAATTTCAGAAATAGACTGGAAAGAGAAGCTGCTGAATTGCAACTTATTACCAAACTTAAAACCATGGAGAGACCTGGTCTGAACAAAGACATTGGATTCTTATCTCATTATACATGACAAAGCCATTTTTCACCTTCTCACCCCTTGCTTTTTCCTGTAAGACCTATTGCAGTCGTTAAGAGTCGTCAACAGGCTCATCACAGCTATCTGCCAATCACCCATTCCCACCACCCTTCTGAGTAATACCCCTCCCCACCTTCTCACTATATAGAAGGGTCTGGTGACTTCTGTTTCAGTGTATCTGAAGAAGTGTGCATGCACACGAAAGCTCATACCAAGAACTAACTTAGTTGGTCTTTAAGGTGCTACTGGAAGGAATTTTTTTATTTTATTTTGTGTTTATTTCTTTTCCAGCAGGGTAGTATAAAAATAGAAGAGCAGGGATCCAGGAGACCCATTCAAAGGGAGAGACTGGAGTGCAAAGGAAGGAAACCTCCTGCTGGCCAAGTTGGGACCATCAGGGATCTTCTACCTCGGGCAGATTTATGTCAGATTAAGCAGGAGCAAGAGGAGGGGCAGCAGCAGCACTGGGAGGCCCAGAAGCAGGATTTCCTGAAGATGATGCAGCCCCCTCCTTCAGGGTGGGAAACCCCACAGGCTCCCAGTCCTCCCCACTCCGGGGATGGTGTCCTCTCCTTCAGGGGAGCTGCGGATGCCAGTCAGAGGCCCAGTGGGAGAGTAGGGGGAGCAGACCAGACCCTGTTCCCAGACACTGAGGGGCTTCTGGGTAAGGTAAGTGCCCTCCTCTCACCTGGGTTTCCAGCACATGGAGGTCACAGGTCCACTGCCTCTAGACATGGAGGTTCTGTTTAGCTTTGGTGGTGAATATTCCTCCTCCCTGCACTTTCTCTCTAATCCACTTTTAAAAGGCTTGCTAGACCAAACCTAACATGGGAGGTTTGTGTGAGGAAATTTCACCCTTACATACCCAAGAATCTCCTGATGTTCTCTACTGATTCTTCAGAGAGGAGGGGCGGTTTTCTGCTCTCTACTTATTCCGCTCCAGCCTCACATCAAAGTGTCAGTCAGTGTGTCGGAGAGAGAGAGACTGAGTGTTAGAGATCGTGTGTATAGATAAGGTTGCTGCTAAGAGCAGCTGCAGGCACTCAGTGCAGTTCAGCATTCATTTTTAGTTTAGACCTCATGTAGCTCTGTATATAGTTGTGTATTATAGCTGTAGATAGAATAAAGAATATATTCTACAGAGCTGCTCTCCAAGTCTTTTATGCTCTGCTATACTCTGCTGTGCGACGACTGTCTTGTGGAAGTGAATCTGGTGCTCACAACTCTTAAGAGGAACAGCTGATAAGCGGTAAACAGCTGATAAGCAGCTTAGCGGATAAGCGGCAATTTAGAGATAAGGAGCTTAGCGCCTTTCAGAAAAGGCAAAAAAAAAGGGGAGACCTCGAAAAAATTTTCGTTTTGCGAGAAAACCCCTTAGAAAGAATCGTTTTGCGAAGTGGGGAAAATGTCGGAAAGCCCTTTCGTCTTGCGCGTTTTTCGTTTAGCGGGGCATTCGTCTAGCGGGGTACCACTGTATTTTAAAATTTTTGGGACGGAGGTTTGGGTGCATACCTTGCAGGGTGACAAACTGAGGAAGCATGGAGAACATGGTGTTTTCCTAGGATATGAGAAAGGGTCTTATCGTGTCCTGATCACAGACACGAAAACCATAAGGCTGACCAGGAGTATTGATGACAATCCGAAATGGGACAAAGTTGGCGTTTTTCAGAGCCTTCCCATTTGTTTTTTTTTTTTAATAAATTTTATTAACCGGCCAATCACATCAAATCACATCACATAAATTCCAAATTACAGAGCCGAATTTTTATAATTTTGTTGGGGGGTCCCATACTTCCAGATCCGAGGAGGAATTCTGATCTAATCATTCCTTCTGCATTAATGTCCAAATCAGTCCAAATAAGTCCAAATAGATGTTCAAACAGTCCAAACATGTATTCATATCTTGCTGTTTCCACATCACTCTTAATCAAATATTTTCTCTTTGTCCTTTATGGTCTCTTCTGATGGTCTCCTTAAGCCGATAAACACCGATAATACTCCTGCGTAGATTTCCCGTCGTAAATCCTCCATTCCAGTTAGTTCCCATAAATCGTCACCTTCGGAGATAAGATCACTTTTCCCCTCGTAGATTTATAGCTCTGTCGTACCTAAAGCCTCTTTGAGGGGTCTCTGCCATGATGTAAACACACACTCTTCCTCCTCCCAGGCTTTTTCCTCCGACAGAGCCTCCCACGATGGCGTTGACGGCATTTTTGATTGCGTCAGCCCAAAGCTCTTAAACATTCCACCAGAGCCTTCCCATTTGTGATGAATGGTGCAAAAGGGGCAAAGACAGTTAAGAGGGAGGCAAGTGCTGTTGTAGCTGACGATAATTCTGATGCCGATGTAGATTCGGATGATGGCACAGATTATCAGAGCCCAAAGCCTCAGGTGAATCTGACGCAGATTCAGACTTAGCAGCTTCATATACTTTAGCTCCCCATTCTCCCAAAGAGGAGGAAGCACCAGAACAAGAAGATCAGAGAGTTTTGCGCAGATCCGAGAGAACAACCAAGGGTGTACCACTGAAAAGGTTTTCTGAAGAGTTCGCTAAGGCTGCGGTCACAAGCAACTCTGGTGCGGTTTTTGAACCAAGCATGAAATGTGCTGACAGTAATAGCACAAAACGCTTTATTTATTTCCTTACCTGACCTTAAGTGGTTCATGTGTAATACGTTAAAAGGATCAGGATTGAAGGAGCAAGCATGTGTTTGAGTACAAAAGTGGTTTGTTCAAATCTGCCTAATTAGCAATGTTAATTTGTATCTGGGAGGGAAGAAAATGTGTATGAAGATTTTTCTAGAAGCTGCTTATTCATTTGTGTATTCACAGTGTGTATTTTGTTTAAACTACAGATTGAGGTTTGTGTTTTAACTCCTTCCCTAATGGTTGCAGTAACTGTTTAATGATGTGATAAAAGTGTCTTAGATAAAGGGGGAAAGAGATACCTGCAAATGTGTTAACAAAAGTTGTAAGCAGAGGACAACTTTTGGACTGTGTGCGTAAGTTACAGTTATGTTTAGATTCTTGAATGGTCAGATGAAATGGGGGAGGATGAGGAAATTTCACCCCTCCCATATCCAAGAATCTCCTGATGTTCTCTGCTGATTCTTCAGAGAGGAGGGGCGGTTTTCTGCTCTCTACTTATTCCGCTCCAGCCTCACATCAAAGTGTCATTCAGTGTGTCGGAGAGAGAGAGACTGAGTGTTAGAGATCGTGTGTGTAGTTAAGGTTGCTGCTAAGAGCAGTTCAGCATTCATTTTCAGTTTAGACCTCATTTAGCTCTGTATATAGTTGTGTATTATAGTTGTAGATAGAATAAAGAACATATTCTACGGAGCTGCTCTCCGAGTCGTTTATGCTCTGCTATACTCTGCTATACTCTGCTGTGCGACGACTGTCTTGTGGAAGTGAATCCGGTGCTCACAACTCCAAGCTGTGAGTCCACAGCACTTTGACCTGTTCCTGTGCAGAAGGTGGTCTCTGGAAGTGCTACCCAGCTCGCCTAGCCCAGTCGGGGCTGAAGTGGATGAGTCCAGTTGGTGGCACTGGCTCAAGGGCGATGCTGACATTGTGATCGTATCTCCTGATGTTCTTACTTTACTTAAACAGCTGCAGGTGACTCTGAATTTTATCAGAGCAGAAGCTGTGTCAGAAGAGGTGACCTTCCACCAACCCTCGTTTTCCTCCTCTAAATTGCCTCCATTTCCAAAATGCTCTTTTCTCCCCACTGAGGTAAAAATCTTGGTACGTCCTGCAGCCTCAGCAATCCCAAGTGTAGTTGCATTAAATAAGACTGGCCTACCTTGCAAGGTTGTTGAAATATCTATTTAGATAATGGCCAGGTTCGGATCACTGAATCACAGCCTGAAAAGCTGGGTTACAGTAAATAAGCACAGTTTTTAATGCATTGCTGCAGCAAAGTTACACTGAAGCCTAAGTTGTCCCAAGTTTAAAACAAAAACCTCTAGCTGCCACTGCATTCTCCTGGCCCCCACAACCAGAATGCATCACTCCAGGAAGGACTCCCACCCAACCTTTAGTGAGAGAGGGGGAAAGAAAAGGACTCTAAATGGGTAGTTGCACAAATTTACCAGCTGTGGTCCTGCACTGGCAGCAAGGCTAACAAACAGGGGAGCTGGGAACGTGCTGGTCCCGTATCTCCCTGCATCTGCCTCCTGACCTAATTGTCCCACCCTACCTCATGATTGGGCCGGCCCTGATGGGGAACTGTGATGAAGCCGTAACTAACAAACTTTACGTTTTGACCAAACCAGGAAACTACAGCTGACAGCTTTGGAATGAGCTGGGATATTAAGCTAACTTCAAACTGTGCTTGGTGAAAACAGGAAACTCTGGTTGATCAGTGGCTTCGTGGTTTGACTGATCCCACTGATAGCAGTAAAAATAGGAAGCCCTGTTGCGTTCGAAGGGGTTGTTTGGACAGAGTCTCTGATCAGCATGCCTAGCAGGACAGGCTTAAAAATATAAAGGGACCCCTGCCCATTAGGTCTAGTCGTGACCGACTCTGGGGTTGTGGCACTCATCTCGCTTTCCTGGCCGAGGGTGCAGGCGTACCCCTTCCAGGTCATGTGGCCAGCATGACTAAGCCGCTTCTTGCGAAGCAGAGCAGCGCATGGAAACACCGTTTACCTTCCCGCCGGAGGGGTGCCTATTTATCTACTTGCACTTTGACATGCTTTCGAACTGCTAGGTTGGCAGGAGCAGGGACCGAGCAATGGGAGCTCACCCCGTTGCGGGGATTTGAACTGCCAGCCTTCTGATCGGCAAGTCCTAGGCTCTGTGGTTTAACTCACAGCGCCATTCGCGTCCCAGGACAGGCTTAGGAATCTATTATTATTATTATTATTATTATTATTATTATTATTATTACTTGCATCCTCCCTATCTGACTGGGTTGCCTCTGCCCATCTGGGTAGCTTCCAACAAAATAAAAACCATCAAAAATTTCCTTCTAAAAGGCTGCCTTTGGAAGTCTTCCATTTCGTAGAAATGGCCTTCAGTTTTAAAGAATCGCCCTCTTTAAGGAATCACGTGGTGTAAACATGTATGTTGTCTTCTACGTCCAAACACACACAGACCCACACATAGTAGGAACAAGCAGTGCTCTAAAGTGCTTATCTTGCAAACTTGCCATCTAAGTTGTTTACTCCTGACCGAAGTTCCTGTTTCCCAAAAGGACAGGAGGAGGAAACGGATGGGTTTGAAGGCTCTTTCCATCAGCCGCCTCTCTCCCCTGAGGAACAAGAGCAAAGGGTGTTTGCAGGGCAGGAGGACAGAGGAGGCGGCAGCGAGGGCAGAGGGAGCAGTGGGCGGATCCACTGCCTCTCCTAGGGGGTCCTGATGCAAGCAAGGGGCTTCCTCCTTCTCCATGCAAGGGCCACCCATGTATTCAGAGCAGTCCTTTGCAAATTAACTCTTAAATTCCAAGGGACCTAATCTCAAGCTTCTTTTTTTTTTTTTTTTAAACAATTTATTGGGTTTTACAATAGAAATAAACATAATAAACAATATAACATTTGTCTTAACATAGTTTCACATTTTCTTTGGACTTCCTCACATCTCCCGCTCCCACTTTCATCGTTATAACATTTTGTCAGCAATTTATCATCTTATTTACATTCTTATATCCCTTCTATGTTTCATAATCTTATAGTTCTCAAAAGGAGTTAAATTTTCACAATCTTACTTATTTTCTTAAAAACCTCTAAATTTAGTGGTGCTCAGTTATTTTGGTCTAGCATCCTATTTAGCATTCGCTCAAATTACAATGTTTTTGTAAATAATTCTTAAATTTCTTCCAGTCCTCCTCAATCCTCTCTTCTCCCAGGTCACGAATTCTGCCGGTCATTTCAGCCAATTCCATGTAGTCTATCAGTTGCATCTGCCATTCTTCCAGTGTGGGTAGATCTTGAGTTTTCCAGTGTTTTGCGAGAAGTATCCTTGCTGCTGTTGTTGCATACATAAAAAATGTCTGGTCCTTCTTTACCACCCCTTGGCCGACAATACCCAAAAGGAAAGCCTCTGGTTTCTTAGTGAAGGTATATTTAAATACCTTTTTCAATTCATTATAAATCATTTCCCAGAACGCCTTCACTTTAGGGCAAGTCCACCAGAGGTGGAAGAACGTTCCCTCACACTCTTTACATTTCCAACACTTATTGTCAGACAGGTGGTAAATTTTTGCAAGTTTGACTGGGGTCATATACCATCTATAAATCATTTTCATTACATTTTCTTTCAAAGCGTTACATGCAGTAAATTTCAATCCATTACTCCACAACCTTTCCCAGTCCTCAAACATGATATTATACCCAATGTCCTGTGCCCACCTTATCATAGCCGATTTAACCGTTTCATCTTGTGTATTCCATTTTAACAGCAAGTTATACATCCTTGAAAGTACCTTAATCTTTGATTCTAACAATTCTGTTTCTAGTTTCGATTTCTCCACCTGGAACCCTAGTTTCTTATCATTTTTAAAAACTTCTTTAATCTGAGCATAATGTAACCAATCTCACACTTTGTCTTTCATTTTCTCCAAACTCTGCAATTTCCAATTATCTCCATCCTTTTCTAATATTTCCCAATATTTTGGCCATTTAGCCTCCATATTGGGTCTTTTTCGGGCCTTAGCTTCCAAAGGTGAAAGCCACCTTGGTGTTTTATTTTCCAGCAAGTCTTTATATTTTGTCCAGACATTAAACAGTGATTTTCTGACAATATGGTTCTTAAAGGCCTTATTTGCTTTAACCTTGTCATACCATAAATATGCATGCCATCCAAAAGCATTGTTGAACCCTTCCAGATCTAACACATCAGTGTCTTCAAGAAGTAGCCAGTCTTTTAGCCAGCAGAACGCTGCGGCTTCATAATACAACTTTAGGTCTGGCAGGGCAAAGCCCCCTCTTTGTTTTGCATCAGTTAATATCTTAAACTTATTCTGGGCTTTTTGCCCTGCCAGACAAACTTAGAAATATCTCTCTGCCACTTCTGAAAGCACTCCTTTTTGTCCAAAACCTGAAGTGTTTGAAATAAAAACAACATCCTTGGCAATACATTCATCTTGATAGCAGCAATTCGGCCTAACAAAGAAAGTTTCAATTTTGACCAACTATCTAAGTCTCTCTTAATTTCTGTCCAGCATTTTTCATAGTTGTCCTTAAAAAGACTTAGATTTTTTGCTGTTATGTTTACCCCTAGGTATTTTACTTTTTTAACCACATTAAGTTCCGTCTCATTCTGAAACCGTTCTGACTCTGTATCAGTCAAATTTTTTCCCAAGACCTTAGTTTTCTGTTTATTTAATTTAAATCCAGCCACCCGACCAAAGTCATTAATCAGTTGTAATACTCTTTTCGTACTAGGCTCTGGCTTCTGCAGGGTCAAAACCAGGTCATCTGCAAAAGCTTTTAATTTGTATTGTTTCTGTCCGACCTGAATTCCTTCCACCAACCGATCCCCTCTAATCATGTTCAATAGCACTTCCAGAACCGAAATGAATAACAAAGGGGAGATAGGGCAACCTTGTCGTGTCCCTTTTTCAATTTTGAACTCTTCTGTAACCACATTATTAACTATCAATTTAGCTTTCTGTTCTGAATATATCGCCTCAATCCCATTTTCAAAACCCCGTCCCACTCCCATCTCTTTTAAATTTCCCATCATAAATTTCCAGGAGATATTGTCAAAGGCCTTCTCCGCATCTATAAAAATTAAAACTGCTTTTGTATTTATATCTGTTTGCAAAAGTTCCAAAATGTCAATAATGTTCCTTGTATTAGCAAACAGATGTCTACCTGGGAGAAAGCCGGCCTGGTCCTTATGAATTACTTCATTTAAAACTTTTTTAAATCTACTTGCCAAAATGTCTGCAAATATTTTGTAATCCACATTTAGAAGGGAGATGGGACGGTAGTTCTTAAGTTGTGTCTTTTCAGCTTCCGACTTTAGTATTAATGTGATAAACGCTTCCTTCCATGACTCCGGTGCCCTCTTCCCCTCCATAATTTCATTGCTGACCTCCATCAAAGGTTGTATCAAATAGTCTTTTAATGTCTTATAGTACTTGGAAGTCAGCCCATCTGGCCCTGGAGATTTGCCGAGTTGCATGTTCTGAATGGCTTGTTCAATCTCCTGTCGTGTTATTTTAAAATTCAGGATTGCCCTATTTTCTTGTGACAATTTAGATAGTCCATTTCTTGCCAAAAATTGTTTAATCTCAACTTCGTCTTGCGGCCCTTGGGTGTATAGTTTTTTGAAGTATCTCTGGAAACACTTTCTAATGTCCACTGGATTCTGAATGTTTTTTCCATCAACCTCTAAGTTTGTAACCGTATTTAATCTTTGTCTTCTCTTCAACTGCCAAGCTAGCAGTTTTCCACATTTATTCGCCGACTCAAACGTTTTTTGTTTCATTAATTTAACCTTCCATTCGATTTCCTGATTTATCAGTTTAGAATATTGTGTTTGATAAAGTTTAATTTCTCTCAGAGTTGGCTGTGACTTCGGATTCACTCTTAATTTCTTCTCTAATTCTTTTATTTTATCCAAGATCTTATCTTTTTTCTCATTTTGTGTTCTTTTCTTTACTGCATTCTGTTGTATCAAGAATCCCCTCATTACAGCTTTGCTTGCGTCCCAGACGATTCTTTTTTCCACCGTAGTATTCATATTTATCTCAAAATAATCCTTCAAAACTTTTTGGGCCTTCTTAGTAATTTCCTGATCTCTGAACAAATTGTCATTCATCTTCCATCTAAAGGATCCAGTTGGTAGTAATGTCATATCCATCTTTACTGCATTATGGTCGGAACAGGTCTTTGGGCAGATTTCCACTTTTCTGACCTTAGGTGCCAGGCCTCTAGAAATCCATATTTGGTCGATTCTTGTCCAGGTCAGTTGGGCTTCAGAAAAGAATGTTCCCTCTCTTCCTAGTGGGTTCTTTGTCCTCCAAACATCAATCAAATCCATATTGTCTATCATTTCAAAAAAGGTTTTAGGTAGTCTGCCGTCTTTTGTAACATTTTGACTTTGTGACTTGTCCATGTTAGTTGATACGACCCCATTCATATCTCCCATCATTATGATGTTGTTGTAGTCCAGATAATCCAGCATTGTCTCCTGCAGCTTCTTGTAAAATTCCGATTTCCCTTCATTAGGTGCATAGATTCCTAATATCAACAGTTTCTCTCCTTGATATTGTATCTCAATAGCCAAAATTCTTCCATGTTCATCTTTAAATAAGAATTTGGGTGACAGGCTCTCTTTTGCATATATCACCACGCCTCTCTTCTTGACTTTATCCGACGATACAAATTCCTGGCCCAATCTTTTATTTATTAACACTTTTCTGTGGAGCCTCGTCACATGTGTTTCTTGTAGACAGATAATGTCCAATTGTTCTTTTTTTAGTATGTGAAATATTTTCTTCCTTTTTTCCGGAATGTTACAACCATTAATATTCCAACTCAGCAATTGCAGAGACATCCTGAATTGATCTGGTTATTTCTCCAGGGGTGGTATCTTCTCTGGATCTTCAGGTTCCCCAGGTGCTGGTGTTGATGCTGGCGTTGCCCCAGGCCCAGAAGGTAATTCAATTCCTTTTTGAAGGTCCTCTCCGTGTGTAGCCAAAAATTTGTCTCTCTCTTCCAATGTTCTAATTTTGACCTTTCTCCCTCTAAAGGTAAAAGATATTCCTTGGGGAAATTCCCACCTGAATGGAATTGCGTTGCTCCTTAGTAGTTTAGCAAGTTCAGAGTAGGCGGCTCTAAGATCCAACAGTTGTCTTGGAATATCTTTGTAAATTTCAATTCTTCTATCCAAAACCTCCAGTGACTTTCCGTAGTGTAGGCCCAAAATCTTGTCCCTTTCCTCCTTTGATCTCAATGTTATCAAACAGTCTCTGGGCCTCTCCTTCTTTGTGAATCTTCCAAGTCTGAAAGCTGACGCAATTTTAAAGTCCTTTTCTTCCAAATTCCAGAACTTGGAGAATTCTTTGGTCAAAAACTCAGTTAGATTTCCTTCTTCTGCCTCTTGTAGTGATCTAATCCTCAAATTATTCTCACGATTTCGCAGTTCTATCATAGAAAGATAAATCTGATGTTCCCCAACTTGTTTGGTGAGTGGTCTTACCTCTTGCTCTAAATTTTCCAATTTTTGTCTGGTATCCTCAGCCAATTTCCGATTTTCTGCTGAGGCCTCCGTTAACTGTCCAATTGCTTGTGTATTCTGTACCACTTGTATAGTTAATTTATTTAGACATTCTGTATTTTTGTCAATCTTTGCTGATTGCACATCTACTTTCTTGTCCAAAGCTTCCAATTTTTCAAAGATTTTGTCTAGAACAGAAACAGATGCTCCTGAGGCCATATCTTCCAATTGTAACTGCTCTGCTTCACCCTCTCCCTCTTTTGCCTGTGACAAGGCAACTTCTTCAACTTCTACTTCTGAGGGCAAAGTAGGTACAGATGATCTGCGTGTCTGCGAGGCTGAGGTTAGAGTTGTTAAAGTTGTTTGTCTAACTCTCCCTCTTTTTCTTGTGCCACTCATTCCAACGTTATCTATCAGTCAAGGTCACACTGAGTTATTTCCCATGGGAATAGAAAGGCCCAGAGCAAGCAAACAACAAGGGAATCGAAAGTAAATGTAAATGTAAAGACACTGTTTTAATCCAATCCTCTAGAGGGAGCTTAAAATGTCTTTCAGAGTCTAATTTAGTATCCAAGAACCTTCAGATACAAATATTTAGCAGAGTTGATAAATAGTCACTTTGTTACAGACAGTGCTTATTTGTCTCCAAAAAGAATGTTTCAAATTTAAAAGGTCTCAATACCCTCAGATTGTTGCAAGTTCCAATATACAATATCCAAATCTGCAGTACTGACAGCTCAATCTCTCAATGCTCAGGCAGCTCCGGACCCTGGGTTTCACCTTTTAATTGTAATCCAATAAAAGGAGGAAAGTCAAGTGCAAGTAATAATTCCAAATCTTTAACTTAGAGTCTTTACTTTAGGTTGCAAGTTCAGTGGATGCTTAGATCTGTAAAGTTTAAAATCTCTTTCTTTCAGCCTCCACTCCTCCAACTAGTTGCTTTTTTCAAGTTCAATGGCAGCGGAAGACGGACTTCCTGTTTCCACGTCTCTCCGCTTTCAGCCAAGTTCAAGCAAATTGAGATTTTTCATTTAAAGTCTCTAATTTCAAGTGATTCAGTCTTTACTCACGAATAAGTTGCTTTTCGTCCGAATCCGAATTTTGACAGGAAAAGGGATCAGCGCTCACCGGCAGCAGCAGCGCGGCTTCGCTCCGCAGACTGTGAAACAGCTCTCAGCGCCGCAACCCCCCTCCACGCTCCGGAGCCCCTTACGGGGTTCCTTTAGCGTTTGGAGGGTCGCTTAAGGCGCCCACCGAGCCTCAAGACCACAGGCTCTTGCTGCCTGTGGTTTTCCGGAGTGGGTCTCCGCTTCGCCGTAGCGGACGACCCGTTGTCTGTGGAGCCTCCTCTCCCGTTCAGAAGAGGACCGCCATTGCTGTTCGCGCCGCCCCCGGAAGTCCCTTAATCTCAAGCTTCTAATGTGCATACCGTGCCAGAGGGAGATGGGACAAGCAGGTGAAAGGAATTGCCAAAGGTGTTTGAAAATGGGTGGGGGCTCTTGGGAAGGGGGTGCCCAGTTGGGGCTTCTCCAGGGGCAGCAGAATGTCTTGGGCAGGAGAATCCCTGCAGGGGCTCTCAGACTCCCTTGGCTTCTTCTTCCCTCCCTCCCAGGAAGCTGCAACTTGCTCTGGATTCTGCGCTCCTCAGGAAGCTGAACCTGCAAACCTAGCTGAGACTGAACCTGCAACCCTGGCCAGGATGGAAGGAGGAAGATGGACGGTTGGCCTGGTCAGGCTGTCTCCCGCATCCCTCCCCACAACCTCTGAGCATACCCTCCCAGGACCCTTGGAGAAATCTGGTGAGTTCCAGGGGAGAGGAGATGGGGACAGGGATAGATGGATGGTGGAGGGAGAAAGAGGAAAAGATGGAGAGGAGACAAATGGAAGGAAGTTCCTGACAGGAAGAAGGAAGGGGTGAGGCCTGTTGGAATTCTGCCTGGGTCAGAGGAATGTGCCACAAGCGTAGGCACCGGCAGATATTCCTGTCGACCTCCCCGCGTCTCCCAACCTCTGCTGATAAGCAGGCGAGGTCCGGCGATTCTTCTCAGATGTATGAGAGGAACACACCGTTCTTCCTCTCTCCCCTTTGGTGTCCCCAGGGAGGGGAAAGAAGCAGACAGAAAACTATTTACATCATTTATTTCTGCCTCTTACATCAGTACAGAGAATCATGTCTGCACTCAACAACAGCGAGGAAAACTCCTCCCAAGTACATCCAGTACGGGTCATATGACACACACACACTGAGCTAACATCCGGTGCTCAGTACAGAATGGACTGCCCCTTTGTTCCCATGGCAACAGTCACAAACATCCTGTCTGGCTTTCCAGCCACAAGCAGCTGGCTGAGCTGCTAAAGCCTTTGCTTGCTGCAGCATTGGTGCTTTATGGTAACATACTCCCCCTAAAGTATCAATGTGTGCTGCGAGCAAAGCGTCATCCAGAGAAGAAAACAAACAGTTGTTATATTTATAACATTCCCTGTTGTTTCAGTTCCACCCTTGGAACTACCCGCCACTGGTTTAACCAATGTACCTCTCTGGTTGTGTGACTTCGCATTACCTTGGTTAACAACTCTCTGTTGTGCCTTTGTCTCTGACTCAGACACAGCTTCAATCTGTCCTTGGTCGTTTACAATAGCAACATATGCAAGGTTAGCAAACTCCTTTGAATACCTCTTGGGTGGTACACCCTTCGTTGCTCTCTCAGACCTACGTAAAAGGTTCTGATCCTCTGTGCTCACTGGTTCAACCTTTGAACTCTCTGGAGAACCAGTACTAAGCTTAAGCAATGGTTCATCCTCCTCTTCTGAGGGTCTAGTCATTATGTGAGATTTCCTCTCAATGACTGTGACAACTGAGCTGTCTGAGCTATCGCTGTCATCATCAGTACTACTGAACTCAATAAGATCAAACTCATCATCATCATCATCATAATCGCCACCTGTGGGAAATGTTTGTACTATCCGCTCTTGCTTTGGAGCACTCTCTAGGAACTTTGTGAGAATCACCTGACCAGATTCAGACAAAATTACTCTGTAGAGACCCTTTTCATAACCCACAAAAATGCCTCTGGCATTCTTTACACCACCTGGAGCTTCTGTTCTCACATGAGACCCGAAAACCTTAAAATAGGCAACAGAAGGTTTTCTATTGAACAGCTTCTCAAAAGGAGAACATCCCAACTCTGTTGAGACCTTTCTCAGCCACACATGAAGATAGGACGCTAGCGACTCAGCCCAATATTCATGTGGCAAATGTGAACTCAGCAATTGCGCATTCATCCCCTTTTGCAATTCTTTGTTCACTTTTACACAGACCCCCCTGTTCCACGCTTCTTGCGAGACTGCCACTTTGTGGTCTATCCCTTTTCCATCCAGGAACTTCTGAAACTTCTGTAACAGAAAAACTTGCTTCTCATCTGTGAAAAGACAATCAATGTTAGCATCATGCATACTTTTAACCTTGTCACAAAACTCCTGAAACTTTTCTAAAGTTTCTTGCGGTTTCTCCATCATATAAACCCAAGAATAATTAGTGAAACAATCCACACACAAAAGGTAAAATCGTGCACCGCCTCTAGATGGTTCTAGAGGACCAATCACATCAGCATACACCCGCTGAAATGCTCTGTTGACCTTCTTCGTCTTCACACTGGTCACACCTGCAAGAGAGATTTCGTTAGAAACAGAGGAATTACATTTCATGTAATCACTTTGATCAAAAGTCAACAAATACAGTCCATCTTTCTCTTTGGCAGTAAGAAACAGTTCTCCATCTTTGTAGATCTTGCAGCTTTTAGCATCATAGGACAGTTTCAGTCCTTTCTTTGCAATCTGCGACACGCTCAGCAGATTAAATCTCAGTTCTGGAACCAGGTAAACATCATTTATAGTCAAGTTCAGACTCTCAAGATACACAGTCCCAATTCCAGTTGCTTCCAACTCCTGACCGTTGGCCTGTTTCACAGTGAAGCTTTGCTTCTTCAACGTCGAAAACAGTCCTCTGTGCGGGCACAAATGTTTTGTACAGCCCGTGTCGATTATGAACGCGTTCCCAACATCTGGCGTGGTTCCTTTCGCCATCATAGCCTTTGCAGGTTTCATCTGGCACTTGGTACGGCTTTTGCCTGACGCCTGAGGCTTCGTAGAGCTGCTCTTTGCTCCTCTTGACTGGCGCGGCTTCTTACAGTTTCGCTGTAGATGCCCAGTCTGTCCACAATTGTAGCATCGGACAGCACTCAATGCTACACCATGCTCCCCAGTAGCATCAGCAGTGGGGGATTAGAACTCTGTTCTTCCCTCCCCCTGTCTTTTTCTTCCAGTGCAGCAAGTCTGTCGTGTTCATTCAGGACCACAGCACAAACTCTCTCCGCGGTCAGCTGCGCGGCCGGTAGGGAACCAAGCTGACTGGCAACAACCTTGTAGGTGCGGCTAAGGCTGTTTATCATCATGAAGCAAAACACTTCCTCCTGAAGACGAAAATTGCGTTCCACCATCTGTTGACGCAGAAACTTCATTTCTGTGAGGTGCGCTTGAACATCTCCATCAGGCGCAAGTCTCAGATTGGTCAATTTCTCAAAATACAGCAACGCTGAAGAACCAGCATCTCTCTGATGCGTTGTACGCAGCGTGTCCCACACCTCTTTCGCATTTTCTAAATGCTGAACATGCACCAACTGATCATCTGAGACACACAGAATTATAGCAGTCCTGGCCCTTACATTCTGTGACTCCCAACCTCTGGTTGGTGCTGCAGGGATGGGGTTTTCAATTACATCAAAAAGCCTCTGATTCTGCAGCAGGGCCTTCATCTTTACAGACCAAGATGAATAATTTGCATTGGTTAAGGAAGGAGGGCAAGGCAAAGCTCCTTTCTTGGCATCCATCTTGAAGCCAAGCCTCTTCAGCTTTCCAGCCCACACTCTCAAACAAACTGTAAAATCCAACAGTTGTTTTTTTCCTTTCTCACGCAGCAAACTGCAAATTGTTTACGCTCTTTGCACCTGGCAGCTAAACTCAGGCTGCTATTGAAAAGTCCCTTCCAAGAGCTCGTAAACCTTGTAGCCAAAACATTCTCTGGTTTTGTTTCGCTTTCCCAGGCTCACACTCATAGTCCAGCCCCTTTGCCAGTAACTTTCCGTTACCTAGCAACAATGCATTTCAGTAAGACATCTTATCTACCACAAAAATTTGTGGAATGCAGGCTTCAGCCTTCAAGCTGCAGGCCTCTTCTCCCGGAGCTTTTGTTTTCTCTGAAACGCAGCTCCGTGAACCAGGGAATTAATCTTCCTGCGTTCACACTTTTAGCCCGAAATGCAGCATACCTTGAACTTTGTTGCTCTGGAAAACACCTCTTCTTTCCACCAGCGGTCTGTGGAGCCTCTGGCTGTTCTCAGACGCTTCTCTTCCTCCTTGGAGCAGAGGAGGACAATCCACCAGCCTCTCATGCAGATGTCTGATGAATCGCAACCATCCGAAGGCTGCCACTGTTGGAATTCTGCCTGGGTCAGAGGAATGTGCCACAAGCGTAGGCACCGGCAGATATTCCTGTCGACCTCCCCGCGTCTCCCAACCTCTGCTGATAAGCAGGCGAGGTCCGGCGATTCTTCTCAGATGTATGAGAGGAACACACCGTTCTTCCTCTCTCCCTTTGGTGTCCCCAGGGAGGGGAAAGAAGCAGACAGAAAACTATTTACATCATTTATTTCTGCCTCTTACATCAGTACAGAGAATCATGTCTGCACTCAACAACAGCGAGGAAAACTCCTCCCAAGTACATCCAGTACGGGTCATATGACACACACACACTGAGCTAACATCCGGTGCTCAGTACAGAATGGACTGCCCCTTTGTTCCCATGGCAACAGTCACAAACATCCTGTCTGGCTTTCCAGCCACAAGCAGCTGGCTGAGCTGCTAAAGCCTTTGCTTGCTCCGAAGCAGCTCTTTGTTTCTTGAATCCTTTTCCTAAAGTAGTGGGGGCAGATTTTCTTCCTCCAGGCTTTGAAATCTTAGGTGTTATTTCCACGGTGGGAATATTTGATGATAATGATGTTGCACACCAATCCTGAAAAATGGGTGAAGGGGGATGGAAATGTTTCCCGTAATTATTTATAATTAATGTATTTAAATTGTTTCTGTTACTTTTATTTTTTATAGACAGAGTCAGAATGATACATTCCACCAGCATCAAAACACAATAAATGCATGCACCTCTCCAGTTTGGTGGGCTTAGGGGACAAAGGACCCGTTATCATGATACACAATTCCTGTGGCTGGAGGCTCTACACTTAGGATTGGACATATGAAGACCAACAGTCTATAAACAGAAGTTTATAGTGGCACCACGTATCCTGCTCAAAATTCCACTTTGTCTGACTGCAGCCCACAAAAACTTAAGCCATATACATCTATCAGCCTTTAAGGGCTGCAAAGATGAATCAACAGAAGCATAGTTCATCTATGGAATCCATCCTAAAGGAGACACTGACGGACAGCAACTTGGGTAGCTTGAAAAAAAGGAAAAGACTGATGTCTCTGCTCTGCCTTTGTGGTTCTAGGCAATAACGCTTCTTAATACTAGTTTCTGGAAAGCACACGATGGCAGAGAAGACTCTTGTGCTCCAATCCTGCTTGCCGGTTTCCCACAGGGATCTGGTTGGCCTCTGTGAGAAGAGGATGCTGGACTAGGTGGGCCTTTGCCTGATCCAGCAGGCTCTTCTTAGGTTCCAATATATTGCAATATTTTTACAGTTAAATGTAGCACTTAAGTTTTATTTATTTCACAAAGGAGACACTTACTCAAACCTGAGATCATTTCTTCAATTGAGAAAGAAAAATACAGAGATGTGTCTAATAAGCCAGTTCCACCATTTTGTTGTTGTTTAGTTGTTTAGTCGTGTCCTACTCTTCGTGACCCCATGGACAAGAGCACGCCACGCACTTTTGTCTTCCACTGCCTCTCGCAGTTTGGTCAGATTATAAAATGATGGTGCTTTATTGAGTGGGAATGGAGTGATCATGTGTTGCTCTTGCCATTATCTCATCTGCTTTCCAAAATATTTGGAACCTAGAGAGGACCGTGGAGAATGGAGACGGTGTTAAAATGAGAGACGGTGCAGGCTGGGATTGACAGGTGTTCAGTTCCTTTTTTGTCTTTCTTGAAAGTCGTAACAGGATTCTCTTTCATCCCAGACTCCCAAACAGGTGAGGAAGATGAAGGTCAGAATTCTATGGAGCCACCTGTGAATTCATTGGGAAGAACAAAGAAACAGTTTAAGTGTATGGAATGTGGGATGTGCTTTTATCACAGTGGAAGTCTGAGGATACATCAACAAACTCACAAAGGAGAGAAACTATTTGAATGTATGAAGTGTGGAACAAACTTTAGTCATAGTCAAGCACTTAGAATACATCAACGAACTCACACGGGGGAGAAATCATTTGAATGTATGGCATGTGGAAAGAACTTCAACCGGAAAGATAAACTTACAGTACATTGGCGAACTCACACAGGGGAGAAACCATTTAAATGTTTTGAGTGTGGAAAGAACTTCAACCGGAAAGATAAACTTACAGAACATTGGCGAACTCACACAGGGGAGAAACCATTTAAATGTTTTGAGTGTGGAAAGAGCTTCAGTAAAGATGAAGCACTTAGAAGACATCAACGAACTCAAACGGGGGAGAAACCATTTAAATGTAATGAATGTGGAAAGAGTTTCAGTAACAATGGAGCACTTAGAATACATCAACGAACTCACACGGGGGAGAAACCATTTAAATGTATTGAATGTGGAAAAAGCTTCAGTAACAACGGAGCACTTAGAAGACATCAACGAACTCACACGGGAGAGAAAACATTTAAATGTATTGAATGTGGAAAAAGCTTCAGTAACAACGGAGCACTTAGAAGACATCAACGAACTCACACAGGAGAGAAACCATTTAAATGTATTGAATGTGGAAAAAGCTTCAGTGAAAGTGAATATCTTAGAATACATCAACGAACTCACATGGGGGAGAAACCATTTAAATGTGTGGATTGTGGAAAGAGCTTCACTAAAAATGGACACCTTAGAAGACATCAGCTAACACACACACAATGAAAACTACGGGTTTATTGAATGGGGAAAGGGCTTCAGAGGGAGTGGAGACCTTAATATTCATTAACAAATTCACATGGGGGAAACGATATAAATGTATGGAGTTTTCCACTCAGGGTTCACTACTTACATCAAGAAACTCCTAAAGGGGAAAATCAGTTGTAAATGCATGGAATGATGTTTTAGTGTTTGTACTTAAATTTGCATGCAAATATATATGTATTAAAGTAATGAAGATCACATACACTAAATGTACAAAGTAAGTGGCAACTAGTTGCTATATGAACAGGGAGAGAGTGTGAATCTGGAATGCTCAAGGTGTGTGTTGAATCTGTTGAGTTTTCAGGTCCGCCTTTCACTGCCAAAATGATGGGCTGCCCTTGTCTTGTAGATCAGCATTCCAGGCGCTCATTACTTGAACTTTGCATAACCCATTGAAGACCTTTTTACTGATAGCATTTTCCAGCTGAATGAAAAGGTCTCTGTGTTAAATGTTCATTTGGTATTGCTTTTAAAACTCATCTCCTATTTTCTGTGCTCTTGTGTACCTGTTTTGAGCTGTTTTTATTAAATATTTTCTGCATTGGCTTTTGACCTGTGGAAGGTGACCAGTGAGAGTGTTTTTTTGTGTTTCTTAGTTCACAGAAATGTTTTAAAGGAATGTGAAAGAATTAGGGCTAGGGGAGATGAGTGAAAGGGACTGAGGAGTGGGAGACTGATTTGTTGTGAATGTGGGTGGTGGAGAGGGAGAGAAGAGAAGGCTCAATTATTTGGTCAGGGCTGTGGTTAAAGGCCTTGGTCGAGCTTTTCTGGGAATTGTAGTCTCAGGATGTCCAATTGTAGTTGGCTGAGGAGGCTCAGAAATTTCTAAGATGTTCCTCCCAGAACTACAGTTCCCAGAGTTCCTAGGAAGTGAAGATGGCTGTGAAGTCTCTGGACAGGGGTCAGCAACCTTAGAGCCATGGGCTGGTTCCGGCCCGAATGGGTTCTGGTTCCAGCCCACGGAAGGTCCAGAAATCGCATCATGGTTCTGATTCATATAGTTTGGGCTGCACCATTTTTCTCTCTCTTTTTCTCTTCCTGACTGCGGCGCCTCCTCCCTCCCTTCTGGCTTCTCCCCCGCCCTGCAGAGGAAGGGGGCCAGCCTTTGATTGGTGCCAGCAGCATTGTTTCCCTCTGATTGGTTGCAGAGTTCTTTCCTCCTCCCTCCCTCCTCCTAGAGCCGAGAGGAAAGGGCCTGGGCTTTGTTTGTGCCAGCATGGTTGCTCGACAGCCGCCATTTAAGGCAGCCCCTCTCCGGCCCTCAACTGGCTCACTGCTCCTGCCGCCACAGCGAGTGGTTCCGTTCTGAGACACCCTCCCAGGGTTCTGGGGTGTATGAAGCCTTGTTTACCTGTTTTTAACTCTGCTTCCGAAAGCGTCTCCCCCTCCAATACAGGAGAGCGGAGAACATGCATAAGGAGCGGCATAAGGAACCGCTCGCTGCAGAAGGATGCGTGTTCTCCGCATTCCCATCTTGGAGGGGGAGACGCTTTTGGTAATGGAGTTAAAAACAGGGAAACAAGGCTTCGCACACCCCAGAACCCTGGGAGGGTCTCTCAGAACGGAACAGATATGCTGCGGCGCAGAACTGAGACCTTCGGAACTTTATTATTTTTTGGTTTAATCTTTGGATCATGTAGTAACGAGAGAATGTGCACGCGCGCTCCGTCCCGCGGCGAGGTTTGAGGACAGAGATCTGGCCCTCGACTTTAAAAGGTTGCTGACCCCTGTCTCTGGGTGTGCAAAAAAGAATTTGGAAGTGTTTGTTTTCATTCTTGGGGGCCATGATGTTTGGCAACCCTCTCTTTTTCAAGAGCTAACTTCAGGGCTATGAGAGCCTAAGGAGAAGCCATTTGTTTGTTTTTAATAAAGAAAAACCTTCAAAATGTGACAAATGTTTGTGGGGGCTCCATCTGTTGCTGCTGCTGCTGAGGGGTTCTCTGGATCTCAGCCCCAAATGTCTGCCTTGATGGTAGCAGGATGGGAGAAGTCAAGTGCCCAGAATAAAAAAGGAAAGTATTTCCTGCATCTTTCTTGAACGAAATGGGTATGTTTGAAACCTCAGACAGAGTTCATGTTGACAGCATTGAAACTGTTGCTCATTAACCAATTAATGTCATATTTATCACTGCTGATGAAAAGAGTCTACCCTTCAAAGACACAAGGTGGTATTTCCTACAATATAATGATGTCCTAAACAAACAATCAGACCCAGAAACTCCAGCGAGTGCAGAATGCCACGGCGAGGCTCCTTACGGGGTCCTTGCCATGGGATCACATTCATCAATACGATACGATAATCTTTATTGTCATTGTCCCATACAGAACAACCAAATTGAAAAAATCTACATCAGACATTCAAAAACTAACAAACCTGCTATCCCAGTCTGGTTAATGCTTGAATGCATTGTAATTAAAAAGCTAAAAAGTGAGGTTTCTCTTAGACAAAAGCATCAGAGGAGTCTGTTATTTCCCCCAATAACTCATCTCTCGAAACAGAAGCTGCAGAGCTCTCACAGAAGGAAGCTTAAACTTGAGAAGCCAGTGGATCGGTTAGGGAAGCACATGCATAGGCTGGGTCATGGGGAAGGGGGTTAGGGAGACATGCATAAACTGGGTTGTGGGGATGGGGGCATGGAAGGCCCACATGTAGACTGGGCCATGGGGGTGAGGGCGATCCATGTGTAGGCTGGGTTGTAGGGACAAGCATTAGTGATATTGACCATCTCATTAGCCAAAAACAGGCCCATACTTCCCATTGAAATACTTGTAAATTTATGTAGATTAAGGTCGTTCTTGATTTTAAATATTGTATTGTTTTCCCTGCTGTGCGCATAGGAATTCATTCATATTTTTTCCAAATTATAGTCTGGCCCACGACAGAGTCGGAGGGGCAGTGAACCGGCCCCCATTTTAAAAGTTTGGGGACCCCTGGTCAAGGATGATGGAAGCTGTAATATGGAGCTCACCACCTGGACTCTGCTGCCCTATATCCTTCCCATTGAAAGAACCATAAAAATAAATTTTAGACACTATAGATTTGTTCTGGTCTGGTGCATGCAATGTCTTTTGTTTTGCAGCTGTGTGATTTGTGATCATATTGCATTGTGGTGGCCATCGGCTATAAACAATAAAACTAACTGATTGATTAAACTGTGAAAATAAGTAATAAAATAATAAAAGGTTGGAGATTTTTGGTCCTCACTCGATAAAGGTGTTTGTGTGTCCCCTTGAGCTTTTGGTTTTTTGGGGGGTGGGGTGGGGGAGGAGTATGAAGGCCAAAACTCCTCCCCTCCTCTGCTGAACAGAGGCAGGAGACCAGAGGCAGCAAAGGAAAAAGCAGGGAAAGACAGACCATCCAAGTGCCACTATTTGTCCCTGATTTGATCCCAGAATGTCCCGCTTCTCCTTAGGATGTCCCAATTATCATTGGAGAAATTCTGGGGGTATGCAGTTATCCGACCCCCAAGCCACCTGAAGGCAATCCTGTATAGGAACGTTTTAAAATGTTTTATGTTTTTATATATTTTGGAAGCTGCCCAGAGTGCTAGGGCAACCTAATAAGATGTGTGGGTTATAAATAGTAAAATAATCATTATAGAACGGGCTGTCCCTATCAGAGAAATGATAGAGGGTATGGAAAGATAACAGAGCCTGATCCTGGCATCTGTTGCTGGAGCTAAGTGATTGCATGACCCCAGCCAGCAGAGCTGGGAACTGGACTGCCTCCTCCAGCCAGGCATTTGGGCTGCAGGGTGGCATCGTCCCAGCTTCATGAAAGGGTATTTCAGGAATATTTCCTGAGGAGGATTTAGAAATCAGTAACTGAACACCTGATCACAAGGAGACTTATTAATGCAACACCCTGGATAGCTTATATTCCAATGATGTAATAAATTTTGATGTGAGATACAGCTTTCTAAAAAAAACCCCCACTTATTAGAGAAGAAAACCAAAGGGTATAGAAAGGGGAAATTTTGTGTGTGTGTGTTTAACCATTGGAATACTGTGTACACAATTTCAAGGTAACATTACACTTTATTTCCGCTTTATCTCACATGGGGCTTGAACCCACAACCAGGAGATTATTCATCTCACGCTCTACCGACTGAGCTAGGACAGCTCAGCGACTTGTGGGCGCAGGGACACCGATGGTGGCGTGTGAAGACCCCCTAGAGAAGGGTGCAAAGACTTGTTCCTTGCTGCTCCTCCAGGGCTAGGAATGGACCAGATCTCATAAAGGGACCCCTGACCGTTAGGTCCAGTCGCGGACGACTCTGGGGTTGCGGCGCACCGGATCTCATAGGGTTAATCGATTTGCCCCGACAGCTAAGAGCGGAACCTCCAGGATCAGAAGCAGCGGGCTGCAAATACGAGGGCAGGCGAAGCAGCAGGGCGGTCTCGCAGCCCCCGCCTTGCAAGGGGGCGCATCCAGCCTTGCAGCCTCCCAGGGCCCAACCCACAGCCAGCGAGCTCCGATGCCCAGAGAGGCAGGAAACGGGGCCAGCCAGGGGGACTCGAGAGCGGCTGCACTTTCCTGTCCCCCGCCGAGGAGAGCGGAGGAGCAGCGGCCCGTGGCCTGGCGAGTTTCCCCGGAGAGGAGCCGGATTCCGGTGCAGGGACGGAGCGAGGAGTCCGAGGTGCAGGAGGCGGGGGAGGGCAGGAGGAGGAGGAGAGCACGTGCGCCTGGCAGGATGAGGCCCCGAGCCCAGCCAGAGGCTGCAGGGCGCCCCCCAACCGGGCAGGAAGGGGAAGGGGCGCAGCTGAGGGGCAGGGCATCTGCAGGAGGGCACAGGGGCAAACATCTCTGGCTCAGGCTGGCACGGACCCTGCCGGAGACCCTGGGGAGCTGCTCCCTTCAGTCCTGAGCTCAAGGGGCAGAATGAGGGGTCCAAGGCAGCTGCTGCTTCCCGATGGATCAGCTGCGTAGCTGGGACTTTTGCCGCCCCTCTCCCTGTCCCTCAGCAGGGAGCCCAGCGCATTTCGAGGGTTCTCCTCAGGGCGGACAGGGAAGGGGAGGCAGGGGGGAAAGGAAGAGCAGTGTAGCAGGGAGGTGCCCCTCTCACCCTGCAGCCCCCTGACACCCTTTGCAGGCCACTACTCCCTTCTGGCTTCTCCCCCGCCCTGCAGAGGAAGGGGCTAGCCTTTGATTGGTGCCAGCAGCATTGTTTCCCTCTGATTGGTTGCAGAGTTCTTTTGTTGGTTATACTTGCGTCTATACAAAGTGCATAGCTTTTGCCCCTCCATAAAGAAATGGGGAGGAGACAAGAGCTGGAATAGCTGACCAGAAGGAAATTTAACCTGGGAACTTCATGTTGCTCCCCAGCTCCCTGAACCCAGGAAAAGACTCCTCCAGGGAGGCAGGTGAGCATCACAACTAAACCCCACATTATGCTCTCCAGTAGCTAATCGCTCAGACAGGGCTATTTTCATTCAGTTCTTTGTGTTTGGGGGGGGGTTTACCTTCCCTTCTTCCCTTGCAATCATGACAAAAATGAAACCTCCACAGCAATGCTTTTAGCCCCAGAAGAGGAGCTCCTCTTGGTGTCAAGGAAGGGGTCCAAGGGAATGAGGAGTGATATACTTTAGCTCCCTATTCTCCCAAAGAAGAGGAAGCACCAGAACAAGAGGATCAGAAAGTTTTGCGCAGATCCGAGAGAACAATCAAGGGTGTACCACTGAAAAGGTTTTCTGAAGAGTTGGCAAAGGCTGCGGTCACAAGCAACTCTGGTGTGGGTTTTGAACCAGCAATGAAGTGTGCTGAGAGTAGTAGCACAAAACGCTTTATTTCCTTACCTGATATTTGAAGGAAAGCGTGTGTTTGAGTATTGAAAGTGGTTTGTTCAAATCTGCCCAATTAGCAATGTCAATTTGTATCTGTGAGAGAAACGTGTATGAAGTTTTTTCTAGAAGCTGCTTTTTCGTTTGTGTATTCACAATGTGTATTTTGTGTGAACTACAGATTGAGGTTTGTGTTTTAACTCTTTCCTAATAGACACAGAGTGGTTGCAGCGATTGTAATGAATGTGATAAAAGTGTCTTAGATTAAGGGGGGAGAGATACCTGCAGATATGTTACCAAGGTTGTAAGCAGAGAACAACTTTTGGAGTGTGTGTGTAAATTGCAGTTATATTAAAGATTATTGGAATGGTCAGATGAAATGGGGGAGGATGATGAGATTTCACCCCTCCCATATCCAAGAATCTCCTGATGAGTCTGGTGATTTTCCAGAGAGGAGGGGCGGTGTTCTGCTCTCTACTTATTCTGCTCCAGCACCACATCAAAGAGTCAGTCAGTCAGTCAGTGTGTTGGAGAGAGAGAGACTGAGTGTTAGAGATCGTGTGTATAGATAAGGTTGCTGCTAAGAGCAGCTGCAGGCACTCAGTGCGGTTCAGCATTCATTTATGCTTAGACCTCATTAAGCTCTGTATATAGTTTTGTATTATAGCTGTAGATAGAATAAAGAAGATATTCTACAGAGCTACTCTCTGAGTCGTTTATACTCTGCTATACTCTGCTGTGCGACGACCGTCTTCTTGTGGAAGTGAATCCGGTGCTCACAACTCTAAGCTGTGAGTCCACAGCACTTTGACCTGTTCCTGTGCAGAAGGTGGTCTCTGGAAGTGCTACCCAGCTCGCCTAGCCCAGTCGGGGCTGAAGTGGATGAGTCCAGTTGGTGGCACTGGCTGAAGGGCGATGCTGACAGGGAGCATCTAGAGCCTACCATCCTTCTGTCCCTGGCCCCTTCCCCTCCTCTCTCTGCCATCCCTGGTCCACTCTTGACTCCCCAGCAGGTGACTAGACCTGTCTGTGATGGTGAGATATCCTGGCCGGTTGAAGGACCACTTCCTGTTTCCTGGAGCTCCATCCTGCCTTCTCATGCAAGGTGGAGTCATGAAGCAGGTGAAGGCTGAGGACACCTAAGGGTGACCCGGGGGGGGGGGGATTCTGCTTAACCTTTCCCCGTCTGCTCCTTTTCTGGATCAAAATCCCCGTACCAGAAGGAGCAGTGTGAGGGCGCAATCAATGTTATGGAGCTGTGTTGAAAGGCATTGCTTCAGGACCCTAAGAGTGTCATTTCCCACACAAGGTCCAGATCAGGAATTCCATGGAACAACTTTAACAACAAGTACCTGAAGAACCAAACCACGATGTAGCCGTGCTCTTTCCATCCCTTTCCAAGAATTGCAACAATCTGTTCCCCCAAATGGTTCTCCCTTCACTGCAGTCATCTGAAGGCACCAACTATGCCCTGTTCGCCCCGATCCTTCTCCGTATGAAGGCTCCCTCCTCTGCTGAATGGAGGCAGGAGACCAGAGACAGCAAAGGAAAAAGCAGGGAAAGACAGACCCTCCAAGTGCCACTGTCTTCCAGGGATGTCCCTGATTTACAGAAGCTGTCGTCAGTTTCTGACTTGATGCCAGAGGGTATGGGGCTATCCAACCCCCAAGTTGTCTGAATATAATCCTGTATAGGAAATTTTTAAAATGTTTTCTTATGTTTTTATATATGTTGGTAGCTGCCTGGAGTGGCTTGGGCAACCTAATAAGATGTGTGGGGTATAAATAGTAAAATTATCATTATGGAACAGGACACCCCTATTTTCATCAGAGAGATGTTGGAGGGTATGGAAAGATAACAGAGCCCAGCCCTGGCACCTGTTGCTGGAGCTAAGTGATCACATGACCTAGGCCAGCAGAGTTGGGAACTGGACTGCCTCCTCCAGCTGCTAGGCATTCAGGCAGCTGGGTGGCATCGTCCCAGCTTCATGAAATCCTGTAGAGGATTTGGAAACCAGGGACTGCATACTGATCGCAAGGAGACTTATTTGTGCAACATACTGAAGAGCTTATAAAATGCCAGGTACATTCCAATGTTCTAATAAATTTTGAGAGACAGCTTTCCAAACAAAACCCCACTTATTAGAGAAGACAACGAAAGGGTATAGAAAGGGGAAGTTTTTGGGTTTCTCTAAAAACCTTCGGACTATTGTGTACACAATTTCAAGGTAACATTACACTTCATTTCCAAAATAAAAAAATCCTTCCAGTAGCACCTTTAAGACCAACTAAGTTAGTTCTTGGTATGAGCTTTCGTGTGCAAGCACACTTCTTCAGATACACACTGAAGAATGTATCTGAAGATACACACTGAAGAATGTATCAGATACACACTGAAGTGTATCTGAAGAAGTGTGCTTGCACACGAAAGCTCATACCAAGAACTAACTTAGTTGGTCTTAAAGGTGCTACCGGAAGGATTTTTTTATTTTGACTATGGCAGACCAACACGGCTACCTATCTGTAACTTCATTTCCACTTTTTCTCACATGGGACTCGAAATCACAACCTTGAGATAAAGCACCTCACGCTCTACCGACTGAGTTAAGACAATAAGACAACTCAGTGATTTGTGTACACGGGGACACAGATGGCGGCGTGTGAACTTCCCTAGAGAAGGGTGCAAAAACCTTGCTCCCTGCTGCTCCAGAGCTAGGAATGGACCAGATCTCATAGGGCTAATCCATTTGCCCCGACAGCTAAGAGCAGAACCTCCAGGATCAGAAGCAGCGGGCTGCAAATACGAGGGCAGGGGAAGCAGCAGGGCGGTCTCGCAGCACTCGCCTTGCAAGGGGGCGCATCCAGCCTCGCAGCCTCCCAGGGCCCAACCCACAGCCAGCGAGCTCCGATGCTCAGAGAGGCAGGAAACGGGGCCAGCCAGGGGGACTCGAGAGCGGCTGCACTTTCCTGTCCCCCGCCGAGGAGAGCGGAGGAGCAGCGGCCCGTGGCCTGGCGAGTTTCCCCGGAGAGGAGCCGGATTCCGGTGCAGGGACGGAGCGAGGAGTCCGAGGTGCAGGAGGCGGGGGGGGGCAGGAGGGGGAGGAGAGCACGTACGCCTCGCCTGGCAGGATCAGGCCCCGAGTGGAGTCAGAGGCTGCAGGGCGCCCCCCACCCGGGCAGGAAGGGGAAGGGGCGCAGCTGAGGGGCAGGGCATCTGCAGGAGGGCACAGGGGCAAACATCTCTGGCTCAGGCTGGCACGGACCCTGCCGGAGACCCTGGGGAGCTGCTCCCTTCAGTCCTGAGCTCAAGGGGCAGAATGAGGGGCCCAAGGCAGCTGCTGCTTCCCGATGGACGATGCATGTAGTCGCTCACGGATCAGCGGCGTACCTGGGGCTTTTGCCTCCCCTCTCCCTGTCCCTCAGCAGGGAGCCCCGTCCTCTTTCACGGTCCACCCCACGGCGGAGAGGGAAGGTGAGGCAGGGGGGGAGAAGGAAGAGCAGTGCAGCAGGGAGGTGTCCCTCTCACTCTGCAGCCCCCTGACACCCTTTGCAGGCCACTACTCCTGCCCCCCCTCCTCTGCCAGTGTCATTGATAAACCTACCGCCCTCATTTGTGAATTGGTCTGATCGCCTTCTAAAGCTCTCTTTGCCGACACCATCACCGCATCTTCTGGCAATGATGTCCATCAGATTAATTTAGCAAGGAAATGGCTTCTTTTGTCTTCCTCACATCAAGGTACACTCTGCCTACACATGGAGGTTCTGTTGTTCTGTCAAGGCTAATAAAACATCTAATAGATCTATTTCCTGGAGAACGCATCTGTTCTTTTCCCAAGCTATCAAAGTTAGTGACCTCTTGTGTCTGCGTGTAAATCAGTGAGAGAGGCTTAAGCCTGTTTCATTAAAGGTTTTATTTCCACCTTAGTAAGGCAGCAGAGTTTTGAGATGAAGGCTGAGGGTTGAAGTGGGTGACAGTTTTGAGAAGGCAGAGGAAAGGAGGATTCTTAAGAAGTGTGGCATATGGAAATGAATTAATGATAATAAATATGTTGAAGACAGTATTGTAAAAGACTGAGGAATGCAAATTTGAAATTAGGTATTCATGTTCAGATTATTACTCATTTCATTTATATACTGCTTCATATTCTTAAGGGAAAAATTCTCAAAGCAATTAAAGGGAAATCTCGTTGCAGTTTGTGTCCATAGGATGTTGAGAACATTAAATCTGTAGATCCAGGAGTTCTCTCCTCCTGATAGTCTTAGATTTGATTGTTCTTTCCTATAGAGCAGGAGGAACATTTATGGGCTTAAAGCTGCATTGATTCTGGAGGCCACATTCCAGTGAGCTTTGTGGCCAATGTATGCACATGCATGCGCACACAGAAAAGAGATGCAGACCATAAAGTCACATGCACACACGCCAGAGGTGCTGCACACACTCACCAGACATGCCATCTAGCATACATACAAGTCTTGCAAACACAATCAGCATGTTTAGACCTTCCAATCCCAGTGCTGGGGTGGGGAAAAATAAGAGCACAAGAAGACTCTGCTGAATTAGCAAGGAGATGTGTGGAAAAAAGACCCTTCAGATTGTTCTTTAGAAATCCTCTTTAAAGAGCAGCCAGAGGGATCATTTATTTCCAGATCAGGGCCTTTACCCCATTTCAGCACTGTGCTGGTTTGTGCTGAAATTGGAGTCTAAAAAATCTCTCCAAGGGCCCTTTAGGCATCTTTCTCTCCAGGACAGACAGAGATCTTCATCCTATGATCAGATCAGGAGATGGAAACGGCAGGGACTAGCAGGACACACCCTGAGGCTTGGCAAGCCATATGCAGCCAATGGACTGCAAGTTAGAGTGTCTTCAGTCAAGAGAGTTTCTGACCATCAAATTTAAAATATTTTGGATATTCCTTTTGTCCTTTTGTTCTTAGGCTGTGCAGATACCATACATTTAAAGCATGTGGCTTCCCCCAGAGAACCACGGGACCTGTAGTTTATTGCTACAGTTCTCAACACCCCTAACAAAATGCAGCTCGCAGGATTTCTTGGGTGAAGCCATGTACTTTAAATGTTAGGTGGGCCTGTCGCAGCCTTAATCATATACAAGGATCTGTTGCTGCCTTTCCAACATGCTAGAAGTTGCAGCCAGGATCAGCATTCCCTGTCCACTTAACATGCTCAGTCCTCTCTCTGGGTTGTTTTTGGATTTCCCTCCCACTGCCTTGGTCCCCCCCCCAAAAAATATTATTTGTAATTCCATAAACCGTTTCCCCCAGTCTTTGGATAACTTCCCCTCGTCCCTGGGTGGAGTTGTTTGGGTGACATAAAGATTGTCATTCACATCCTGAACATTAGAAATAGAAAGAGTAATAATATATTTCAAAAACTGGCTAATGGTTAAAAAATGTGCTTTTGTTTTTATTCTTGGGTTTTATTTTACTTTGTGTTTATTTCTTTTCCAGCAGGGTGGCAAAAAAATGGAAGAGCAGGGACCCAGGGAGAGGGAGAGACTGGAGTGCAAAGGAAAGAAACCTCCTACCGGCCAAGTTGGGACCATCAGGGATCTTCTGCCTCGGGCAGATTTATGTCAAATTAAGCAGGAGGCAGAGGAGGGGCAGCCGCAGCAGCACTGGGATGCCCAGAAGCAGGATTTCCTGAAGACGATGCAGCCCCCTCGTTCAGGGTGGGAAACCCCACAGGCTCCCAGTCCTCCCCACTCCGGGGATGGTGTCCTCTCCTTCAGGGGAGCTGCGGATGCCAGTCGGTGGCCCAGTGGGAGAGCAGGGGGGACAGACCAGACTCTGCTCCCAGACACTGAGGGGCTTCTGGGAAAGGTAAGTGCCCTCCTCTCACCTGGGTTTCCAGCACCTGGAGGTCACAGGTCCACTGCCTCTCGACATGGAGGTTCTGTTTAGCTTTGGTGGTGAATATTCCTCCCCCCTGCACTTTCTCTCTAATCCACTTTAAAAAGGCTTGCTAGACCAAACTTTCTAAATGGGTAGCTGTACAAATTTACCAGCTGTGGTCCTGCACTGGCAGCAAGGCTAACAAACAGGGGAGCTGGGAACGTGCTGGTCCCATATCTCCCTGCATCTGCCTCCTGACCTAATTGTCCCAGCTTACCTCATGATTGGGCCGTCCCTGAGGGTGAACTGTGATGAAACCAGGCACTCTCTTATGAGGCATAACTAACAAACTTTCCATTTTGCCCAAACCAAGAAACTACGGCTGCCAGCTTTGGAATAAGCTGGGATATTAAGCTAACTTCAAACTGTGCTTGGTCAAAACAGGAAACTCTGGCTGATCAGTGGCTTCATGGTTTGACTGTTCCCACTGTAAAAATAGTAAAAATAGGAAGCCCTGTTGCGTTCAAAGGGGCTGTTTGGACAGAGTCTCTGATCAGCATGCCTAGCAGGACAGGCTTAAAAAGGTAAAGGGACCCCTGACCATTAGGTCCAGTCATCACCGACTCTGGGGTTGAGGCGCTGATCTTGCTTTATTGGCCAAGGGAGCCGGCGTACACCTTCCGGGTCATGTGGCCAGCATGACTAAGCCGCTTCTTGCGAACCAGAGCAGCGCACAGAAACGCCGTTTACCTTCCCGCTGGAGCGGTACCTATTTATCTACTTGCACTTTGACGTGCTATCGAACTGCTAGGTTGACAGGAGCAGGGACTGAGCAACGGGAGCTCACCCCGTTGCGGGGATTCAAACTGCCAACCTTCTTATCAGCAAGTCCTAGGCTCTGTGGTTTAACCCACAGCGCCACCCGCGTCCTAGGACAGGCTTAGGAAGCAATTATTATTATTATTATTATTATTATTATTATTATTTGCATCCTGCCTATCTGACTGGGTTGCCTCAGCCCATCTGGGTAGCTTCCAACAAAATAAAAACCACCAAAAATTTCCTTGTAAAAGGCTGCCTTGGAAGGCTTCCATTTTGTAGAAATGGCCTTCGGTTTTAAAGAATTGCCCTCTTTAAGGAATCACGTGGTGTAAATATGTATGTTGTCCACTAGGTCCAAACGCAGACACTCACACATGGTAGGAGCAAGCAATGCTCTAAAGTGCTTATCTTGCGAACATCTAAGTTGTTTACTCCTGACCAAAGCTCCTGTTTCCCAAAAGGACAGGAGGGGGAGCAGTGGAGGAAACAGATGGGTTTGAAGGCTCTTTCCATCAGCCGCCTCTCTCCCCTGAGGAACAAGAGCAAAGGGTGTTTGCAGGGCAGGAGGACAGAGATTGAGGCAGCGAGGGCAGAGGGAGCAGTGGGCGGATCCCCGCCTCTCCCAGGGGGTCCAGATGCAAGCAAGGGGCTTCCTTCTTCTCCATGCAAGGGCCACCCATGTATTCAGAGCAGTCCTTTGCAGATTAACTCTTAAGTTCCAAGGGATCTACTCTCAGGCCACTAATGTGCATACCATGCCAGCCTTAGGAAGGGAGGTGGGATAGGCAGGTGAAAGGAATTGCCAAAGGTGTTTGAAAATGGGTGGAGGCTCTTGGGAAGGGGGTCCCCAATTGGGGCTTCTCCAGGGGCAGCAGGATGTCTTGGGCAGGAGAATCCCTGCAGGGGCTCTCAGACTCCCTTGGCTTCTTCTTCCCTCCCTCCCAGGAAGCTGCAACTTGCTCTGGATTCTGTGTTCCTCAAGAAGCTGAACCTGCAAACCTAGCTGAGACTGAACCTGCAACCCTGGCCAGGATGGAAGGAGGAAGATGGACGGTTGACTTGGTCAGGCTGTCTCCCGCATCCCTCCCCACAACCTCTGAGCATTCCCTCCCAGGACCCTTGGAGAAATCTGGTGAGTTCCAGGGGAGAGGAGATGGGGAGAGGGATAGATGGATGGTGGAGGGAGAAAGAGGAAAAGATGGAGAGGAGACAAATGGAAGGAAGTTCCTGACAGGAAGAAGGAAGGGGTAAGGCCTTCTCAGAAGCAGCTCTTTTTTTCTTGAATCCTTTTCCTAAAGTAGTGGGGAAAAATTTTCTTCCTCCAGGCTTTGAAATCTTAGCTGTTATTTCCACGGTGGGAATAATTGATGATAATGATGTTGCACAACAATCCTGAAAAACGGATGAAGGGGAATGGATATGCTTCCCATAATTATTTATGATTAATGTATTTAAATTGTTTCTATTACTCTTATTTTTTATAGACAGGGTCAGAATGATACATTCCACCAGCATCAAAACACAATAAATGCATGCACCTCCCCAGTTTGGTGGGCTTAAGGGACAAAGGACCCGTTATCATGATACAGAATTCCTGCAGCTGGAGGCTCTACACTTAGGATTGGGCATATAAAGTCCAAGAGTGTCTGGTATTATAAGCAAATTGTGTAAATCTTAGAGACTGGGGTTGTTTGTGAGAGTGAGTGAGTGGGATAATAATTTTTAGCGCCCCTTTGTAATGGCTTGGTTCTCTTGCACAGACGCGAGACAACTCCAGTAGTAATTATCTCAGGTTTATTGCTCAAACTCATAAATCACTGTGGAGCTCAGTCCTCGGCCTGTTCATCCCAGCTTGCAGTTGCCAAGTCCTCCAGCAAAGAAGCCCCCACTTTCGCTTTCTTTTCCCCTCTCGCAGATTCTCTCGAGCCTACGATTTTTTGGACAGGCTATTTCCGGGGTCTCTGTGTCAGACCTCAAACTGGAGATAACAGTCTGTGCCCCCCCCCCGTCGGCACCCCCTCTTCTTGCTCTTTGTTCTTTGCTCCTGCTGCAGCTTGGCTGCTCCTCCCCTGCTTCACATTCCAACTGAATCACATCTCTTGCGTTCTCAGGCTCTGTCAGCGGAGGCACGAGAGGCTTGAGATTCACGGAGCTGACACCCTGTAATTTTGTCCGTCCCTAAGCTTCCATGGAGATACTGTGGTACAACCTTGGTGCAAATTTCAAAATAAGTACACAAAGCCAACAAAGAGACTCAGAGGTTTATAGTGGCACCAGCTTTCCTGGTCAAGAGTCCACTCTGTCAGACTGCAGCCCACAAAAGCTTAGGCCATAATACATTTATCTGCCTATAAGGGCTGCAAAAGATGAATAAACAGAAGCGTAGTTCATCTATGGAATCTATCCTACAGGAGACAGTGATGGCCAGCAACTTGGATAGCTTGAAAAAAAGGATAAGACTGACGTCCCTGCTCTGCCCTCGTGGTCTAGGCAATAATGCTTCTTGATACTAGTTTCTGGAAAGCACAGGAAGGCAGAGAAGACTCTTGTGCTCCAATCCTGCTTGCTGGTTTCCCACAGGCATCTGGTTGGCCTCTGTGAGAAGAGGATGCTGGACTAGGTGGGCCTTTGCCTGATGCAGCAGGCTCTTCTTAGGTTCCAATATATTGCAATATTTTTAGTTACATGTAGCACTTAAGTTTTCTTTATTTCACAATGGAGACACTGTTACTAGAGCCTGAGATCATTTCTTCACTTCAGAAAGAAAAAAATAGATGTGTCTAATAAGCCAATTCCACCATAGATCTGTATTATAAAACGATGGTGCTTTATTAAGTTTGAATCAAGTGATCATGTGTTGCTCCTGCCATTATCTCATCTGCTTTTCAAAAAATATGGAACCTAGAGAGGACAGTGGAGAATGAAGGTGTTAAAATGAGAGAAGGTGCAGATTGGAATTGACATCTGTTCAGTTCCCTTTTTGTCTTTCTTGAAAGTCTAACAGGGTTTTTTTTCCTCCCAGACTCCCAAACAGGTGAGGAAGATGAAAGTCAGAATTCTATGGAGCCACCTGTCAATTCATTGGGAAGAACAAAGAAACTGAGGATACAAGAACAAACTCAAAAAGGAGAGAAACTATTTGAATGTATGAAGTGTGGAACGAGCTTTAGTCATAGTCAAGCACTTAGAATACACCAACGTACTCACACAGGGGAGAAACCATTTGAATGTATTGAATGTGAAAAGAGCTTCAGTACCACTGGGAAACTTAGAATACACCAACAAACTCACACAGGGGGAAAACCATTTAAATGCATAGAATGTGGAAAGAGCTTCAGTGATAGTGGATCACTTAGAATACACCAACGAACTCACACAGGGGAGAAACCATTTAAATGTATTGAATGTGGAAAGAGCTACAGTCAAAGTGGAGGCCTTAGAATACACCAACGAACTCATACAGGGGAAAAACCATTTAAATGTATGGAATGTGGAAAGAGCTTCAGTGATAGTGGATCACTTAGAATACACCAACGAACTCACACAGGAGAGAAACCATTTAAATGTGTGGATTGTGGAAAGAGCTTCAGTGAAAGTGGAAAACTTAGAATACATCAACGAACTCACACAGGGGAGAAACCATTTGAATGTGTGGATTGTGGAAAGAGCTTCAGTCGAAGTGGGACACTTAGAATACACCAACGAACTCACACAAAGGAGAAACCATATAAATGTGTGGATTGTGGAAAGAGCTACAGTCAAAGTGGAGAACTTAGAATACACCAACGAATTCACAGAGGGGAGAAACCATTTAAATGTATGGAATGTGGAAAGAGCTACAGTCGAAGTGGAGAACTTAGAAGACATCAACGAACTCACACAGGGGAGAAACCATTTAAATGTATGGAATGTGGAAAGAGCTTCAGTCGAAGTGGAGCACTTAGAGTACACCAACAAACTCACACAGGGGAGAAACCATTTAAATGTATAGAATGTGGAAAGAGCTTCAGTCGAAGTGGAGAACTTAGAATACACCAACAAACTCACACAGGGGAGAAACCATTTAAATGTATTGAATGTGGAAAGAGCTACAGTCGAAGTGGAGAACTTAGACGACATCAACGAACTCACACAGGGGAGAAACCATTTAAATGTATGGAATGTGGAAAGAGCTTCAGTGAAGGTGGAAAACTTAGAAGACATCAACGAACTCACACGGGAGAAACCTTTTGAATGTATTGAATGTGGAAAGAGCTTCAGTGAAAGTGGAACACTTAGAAGATATCAACAAACTCACACAGGGGAAAACCACAGATACATTAATAAACTGCATAGGTGTTTTTTACCTTTCCTTCTATGCTTCCTTGCAATACTGACAAAATCAAACCATGCCAATGCTTTCAGCCCCAGAAGAGGACCCTTGGTGTCAAAAGAAAGCAGTCTGGTGCCACATTTCGCAGCAGTTACTTTAACACACTCTACCTGGGGCTGCAACATCAACAACTTTTTCCAGGGAGCCTTCTCTTTTCATGAGGTGGCCAAAATATTGAAACCTCAGCTTCAACATGTTTCCTTCCAGTGAGCACTCAGGGCTGATCTCCTTCAGAATGGATAGGTTTGATCTTCTTGCAGTCCATGGGACTCTCAAGAGTCTCCTCCAGCACCATAATTCAAAAGCATCAATTCTTCGGCGATCAGCCTTCTTTATCGTCCCGCTCTCACTTGCATACCTCACTACTGGGAAAACCATAGCTTTAACTTTACGGACCTTTGTTGGCAAGGTGATGTCTCTGCTTTTTAAGATGCTGTCTAGGTTTGTCATTGCTTTTCTCCCAAGAAGCAGGCGCTTTTTAATTTCGTGACTGCTGTCACCATCTGCAGTGATCATGGAGCCCAAGAAAGTAAAATCTCTCACTGCCTCCATTTCTTCCCCTTCTATTTGCCAGGAGGTGATGGGACCAGTGGCCATCATCTTCGGTTTTTTGATGTTGAGCTTCAGACCATATTTTGCGGTCTCCTCTTTCACCCTCATTAAGAGGTTAATTCCTCCTCGCTTTCTGCCATCAAGGTTGTGTCATCTGCATATCTGAGGTTGTTGATATTTCTTCCGGCAATCTTAATTCTGGCTTGGGATTCATCCACTCCAGCCTTTCGCATGTTGAATTCCGCATATAAGTTAAATAAGCGGGGAGCAATATACAGCCTTGTTGTACTCTTTCCCAATTTTGAACCAATCAGTTGTTCCATATCTAGTTCTAACTGTAGCTTCTTGTCCCACATATAGATTTCTTATGTTAAGGAAATTAGGGGGGGCACATCTTTAAAGTTATTAAATGTTACAGATATTATGCCTGAATGTATCCTTTCAACTTGACAGCTCAGGGAAGTTACCATATTTTTTGCTCTATAAGACTCACTTTTTCCCTCCTAAAAAGTAAGGGGAAATGTGTGTGGGTCTTATGGAGTGAATGCAGGCTGCACAGCTCTCACAGAAGCCAGAACAGCAAGAGGGATTGCTACTTTCACTGCGCAGCGATCCCTCTTGCTGTTCTGGCTTCTGAGATTCAGAATACTTTTTTTCTTGTTCTCCTCCTCCAAAAACTAGGTGCGTCTTGTGGTCTGGTGCATCTTATAGAGCAAAAAATACGGTACCTAGCTTTAAAAATAATATAAAATCAACTCCTTTGCCAGTTTCCTCCATTCCAAAGCTATTTTCCCCTTGAAAAAGGACTCCAGGAAGTGTCCAGGGGTAACAATTGCTGAGCTGGACCAAGGAAAGCCTAATCCCATCACCAAACTTGCCAAGGGGCCAGACATGCAAAGGAAGTTCTATTGTACTTTGGGTGATGGGCCTTCAGAGGTGTTTGCCTATGCTAATCTTATACCTGAGTCTTGCCCTGACATGGGCATGCTTATGCTAATCTTGTACCAAGGACTTGTCTGGACATGTTTGCCAAGGTTAGACTAGTGTAACCCCTGTCTACCCCTCCGCTATTGTGACATGTCACATAGCAATGATGCTCTACGAACTGTATTCTGGGATATGGTGGGAAAGTTTTAAAAGTCTTTGTCACCCCATGCTTGGGGTTCAAAATTCCTCTTTGAACCTGTTGCGCAATAAACTTTGGTCTACAGCTATTTGCTCCATTTGGTGGCTGGATTCCTTCCTTTATTCTGCAAGGGACCCGCGGGCACTTCCCAACGAGCTGGTTTGACTGAACAGCCTTACACCTAGATTTTTCCATAACACTCAGGAGACAGATGAGGTGATCAGGCACTCCCATTTCTTTAAGAACTTGCCATAGTTTGCTGTGGTCGACACAGTCAAAGGCTTTTATATAGTCAATGAAGCAGAAGTAGATGTTTTTATGGAACTCCCTAGCTTTCTCCATAATCCAGCATGTTTGCAATTTGGTCTCTGGTTCCTCTGCCCCTTCGAAATCCAGCTTGAACTTCTGGGAGTTCTCAGTCCGCATACTGCTTAAGCCTGCCTTGTAGAATTTTAAGCATAACCTTGCTAGCGTGTGAAATGAGCGCAATTGTGCGGTAGTTGGAACATTCTTTGGCACTGCCCTTCTTTGGGATTGGGATGTAGACTGACCTTCGCCAATCCTCTGGCCACTGCCGAGTTTTCCAAAGTTTCTGGCATATTGAGTCTAGCACCTTAACAACATCATCTTTTACAATTTTGGTTCTCAAGGAAGAGGCAGCCCAGGAATACAGGGCAGGAATTTACCTTGAATCTTGCTATCAAAATCCTTTCATACCTTTTTGTGAGGGTTTTGTGGCTGCTAATCTTAAAGCCAGGATGAGCACTCAGAATTGGGCATCATATCCTATGTTATTAAAAATAAAATACTTGTTCTGCTTCTAAAGAAACCCTTTAGAATGCATTCTTATTCTTTTTTCATAAAAAAATTTAAACAGCTGTGCAAAGGTGCTCCTGTGCAATGCAATGTCAGAATAACAAAATAATGAAACATCTCACAAGAGCCTTGTTTTTTAAATATACAGCTAAAAAACCTTAAAACTCCTACAACACTTACCAAATAGAAATCTAATAGCTGGCCCCCCAGGCACTAGGAGGCAAGCTGATGTTCAAGGCTTCACCCCACCCCTAAACTCTGAGCTTTTGGTTTCTCTTTAGACACTCATCTGTGGTTGCCTGGAGCATTTGAGGGGAAAGAGAGAGAACATTGGGGCATACGAAGCAAACATAGAAAAAGAAAGTGACAACCTGCTTGTAAGTGTCATTGTTACTTGGAAGGGAACAAGTGCTATAAGTTTAATGTACATATAATGCTGTGCTTGAATGCATTGCAATAAAAATACTATAAAGGGAAGTTTCTCTTAGACTTAGGCAAGAGGTTCCACTCTGACAGAAGCATCAGAGGAGGCTGGATCTTTCCTCATAACTCATCGCTGGAGGCATAAGCTGCAGAGCTCTCACGGAAGGAAGCTTAAACCTGAGAAGCCAGTGGGTTCTTGCTGGAGATGGCTAGGAGAAGCAGCAGCAGCAGTTGCAAATAAGTCATGCAATGTTGAAGAAGCTTAGGATCTCCCTCTGGGACCAGAGAGAGGAAAGCTGACTGAATTACATAAAGGACTGAACATTGTTTGCAATGTGCTACTTTATCATGCTTATCTTATTGTTAGACTGTTTAAGACTGTTCTGCGGTAAAGCTTCAAAACTTATTTTTGTGATGGAGAGAATTCATTTCCACACAAGGTCCAGATCAGGAGTTCCACGGAACAACTTTAACAGCAAGTACTTGAAGGGTACTTCAACAAGTACTTGAAGGGACGCGGGTGGTGCTGGTTGTTAAACCACAGAGCCTAGGGCTTGCCGATCAGAAGGTCGGCAGTTCAAATCCCCACGACGGGGTGAGCTCCCGTTGCTCAGTCCCTGCTCCTGCCAACCTAGCAGTTCGAAAGAACATCAAAGTGCAAGTAGGTAAACGGTGTTTCTGTGCGCTGCTCTGGTTCACCAGAAGTAGCTTAGTCATGCTGGCCACATGACCCAGAAGCTGTACGCCTGCTCCCTCGGCCAGTAAAGCGAGATGAGCGCCACAACCCCAGAGTTGTCTACAACTGGGTCTAATGGTCAGGGGTCCCTTTACCTTTACTTGAAGGACCAAACCAAGAATTACAACAATCTCTTCCTCAAACTGGTTCAGCCTCCACCACCTTTACTGCAGTCAACTGAAGGCAACCAACTATGCCCTGGGGCCCCCGATCTTTCTCACTGCCAATGAAAACTAATAAATGAAAAGGAAGAGAAGCTACCCATGTCACACTGACACAAACACCTTGCATATGAACTTTGTAAAATAATGAAAGTGTACTACCCCTCCCCCGCTCGCTTTCTGCACCTCTCAATTCCCCAGCCTTACACTGTATACAACATTAAAGTCTGTCTGTCTCTGAATTTTTATGATATCCAAACAGAGTAGCTTATAGTTAAGAAGCCAACACCCTCCCTTCAGATGTGAAGGAAATAAGCAGCTATCCTATCCTAAAAGACATCTGAAGGCATCCCTGTTTAGGGAAGTTTTTGATATTTAATGCTGTACTGTTTTTAGCACTTGATTGGAAGCCACCCAGAGTGGCTGGGGAAACTCAGCCAGATGGGTGGGGTATAAATAATAAATTATGATGATGATAATGTAATGATCTTCATCTGTTTCACTTCAGATAATTCAGTGGGGCCTCTTCTCAGTTCATTCTCTTCTGGATCAGTGCCTTAATCCTTTGTAGATTCTGTATATCACAGAATAGCCATTGAGATGTCCCCAGATGTTGTTGTCCAGTTCCCATCAGCTTCAGCCAGCAGGGCAGACAGTCAAGGATGATAGAAACTCTAATCTGGACCTCACCACCTGGACTCTGCTGCCCTATATCCTTCCCATTGAAAGAAATGTGAAAATAAATTTTGGACGCTATAGATTTATCCTGGTCTGGTGCATGCAATGTCTTTTATTTTGCAGCTGTGTGATTTGTGCTCATATTGTATTGTGGTGGCCATTGGCTATAAACAATAAAATTTATAGATACAGTAGATTGAAATGCAAAAATAAGTAATAAAATATATAAAACGATTTTATTTTTTTGGTCCTCCCTCCCAAATGGTGTGTGTGTTTTGGGTTATATTGTGCTTTTGGTTATATTGGGGGTGGGGTGGGGAGTGGAGAAGTATTAAAGCCAAAATCGCTCCCCTCCTCTGCTAAATTGAT